GCATCATCTAATAGCGAGAGGTGGAGCGGCGCGCCGAAAAAAGTTGTCAAGCAGCGAGCGGCAAGCTTTTTGGACATTTTTTCGGCGCGCCGCTCCACCTCTCGCTATTAGATGATGCCCCACCGTTGCCTGCCGAGTCCGGCCTGCCGCCTTCTACGCTCTCATTCGCTCAGACATTAAAATTAATTTCTCGATAACTATTGCGAAGTTTCAAAATGGTATAGGACTTTTCTATTCAGTTTGCCCCGGTCTATCTACCATCTACGGGACATACGGGTATTAGGACACACCCTGTATAGGTTAAACTGTAAAAATACAAATATGTATACGATTATTATACAATAATTACATAAAATCGAAATCATTGTATTAAATATTTTATATTTTTTAAAATAGATATTTACTAAAATAATTACAGAATACTAAAAAAAATCTTCCTTTTAAATGTAAACTCACAAAGTTTTATACGTATGCTTTTCTCTGTAACGCTTATTCGAATCCTCGTTCGAATCATTCGAATAGATAAAACAAAAACAGAAAACAGATGCTTTACTTTGCACAAGTAGCGAATAACAAAATGTAAGACACTTACCTCACCATTTCTCCGCCGTTGCCCGATGCCTCCAAGACCACCTCCTCCTTGTCAGATTTCCTTGTTGCACTTTCACAACACTCACTCGCGAAAATCATCGATCGCGCGAAATTTCGGGCACTCCCGTAAGCGATGTGAAATACCGCGAAAGGCACGAAAAATTATTAACAAATATCGCGTGACTTTCTGTCGTACAAATTACTCAAACTAACAGCGATAAATAGTTATTATTAATTGCAACAGTTAATCGAGATAATTTTCGATTACATTTACATAATGTAACGACGCGCGATAAGCGACTTTCTCTACTTTCTGCCCGTTCGAGTTGCGAAGAACGACAGAGCGAATTACAGCGTAAACGCCAAAGTCCCACAGATTTCTCTATCTTTTCCCGAAAATGGAACAGATTACACGAAATCGACAGATAATTAAAAGCGCGATGAGTACACGAGATGTAATCTCGACTAAGTACCGCGGTTTGCATTTATATTTTAGATGAGTTGGTCTCGTGAATTCTACGTTGATAAAAGCCATCGCTTAAACAAATCGTTTTTCATTACAAGTTATAGGAACTTAATAATTAGTCGATAAACGTTACTTATTACTTGATAAGCGTGTACAAATCAATAGCGTTTCATCCCCACATTTATCGCGATCGCGTCTTGGAAACGCACAACGATAACGCACAAGTAATACGACGCACGGAGCGACTCTCGCCACTGTCTTGCCGGCTCGACGTTCGGCGAGCGAGTCAGAGCGCCAGCGACCTTCAGGTACACGATGGCACGCAAAAACATCCTACGTCACCGCGCCGAGTGAAAAACAACAAAAAAACGTTGAGAATTCGTTGTCCCGTCTACGCAATGGAAAATTCCGTTCTTAATATTTTATATTACTTTATTCTCGGCTGTTACTACGTTCTGTGCATCATTCTGCGGACTTATTGGTATTGATTAAATTGACGGTTAATTCTGTTCAATCGAGAAGATGTTTCGAAACCAAAATCGTTGTTACTTAAATTCTAATTACTGAGATTAGAGATTTTACTTTATTAGAAATAGCATTGCGCGCGCTATTTGGTTTTAATTTATATTTATTCATGATCTTCTTCGCACATTAAGATTTTCTTCATGTGAAGAAGTCAGATTACGTCTTCATGTAAGAAGACGTGACACTCTGCCAAAATACATATTAAGGATCGTCTGCAATAGATGAAGTAAGCCTGGCGTAAGAAGTAATTCATACAGCATGCATGTCTAAAAGATATCTTTAAGACATCTTTAAGTCGTCTTTTAGGTATGTATGTCTAAATGTCTTTTAGACATGCGTGTTGTATGGGAATAGTACACGGAGAAAATTTTTTATCGGATGAACCCATTAAATAGTGTTTTTGATGGTTAATTTTTCCGATTTAATTATGGATAAATCCGATAAAATTTATCTGATGAAATGCAGTTACCGATGAAATTTTATTGAAAAACCGATTATATTTTTCATCAAATATGCAATTTAATTGGATACATCCGTTTATTATTATGAAATTGAATTATCCAATTATATTTAATCGAATATTTTTCTGAATGTAGAAGTAAAGAAATGAATCATTTCCCTTTCTTACTCCTACTTCAGCTCTGACGCTTACTCTCGGCGAATTAGAGCGCAGTTCGACCAGTGCTATAAATATTTCAAAAATTATACCCGTACTTTCGGTTTTACACTGATAAGTAAAATTTATGGTTTTCTTACTTCTTACTGCTTACTTCCAATGTAGACGGTCCTTTACGTGATCTCCGCACTAACAGCTACTCGCAGCACAAAGCCAAGCGAGAGAATCAGCGTCGCAGAAAAGCGTAAATAATGAAATCTCTTACATGCCTTTTTAAAAAGAGGATTAGTTATCGTTGTATCTCATTAGAAGAATAAGAATTTCTTTCATTCTCCTTCACTCAATTAGATATTTAACTTTAACTTCTTTTATTCTCTAAACTTCTTTAAGTATATTTTTTCCACAAACTGTCAAAATTCGCATGCGAGATGAAGTATGACATGAATCTAAAAGAGAAGTGGAGCACATTGCGCTTCGAGAAAACCAATCGGCATCGCGAAAGAGATGCCTCAACTGTTCGATATTAACGACATTCACGCCGGTGACATCTTGTTTTTTTAGAAAGAAATAGTCTCCGGTGGAGAGGCACCAAGGATCATGTGACCAGCCCTCCGCAAATGACTAGCACGATATGTGCTGACTTGTTTGTATTTTGAACATTGCAAAATCTCACTCCTTAAATATTTTGGTCCTGCGAGTTTAAATATAAATTTTTATTGTTTTTACGAATATTTTAGCAAAAAAATTATAAGTAAATTCTTTATTTAATCATTTAAATTTTAACGTTTAAAAAAGTAATGGAAAAGTAACGATTCGTTTTAAAAAAACGGTAACGAGTTTTTTGTAGAGAATCACAGTGTTTAAGTAACGGTAACTACACAGTTGCATTTTTTACTCGGTAGCGAGTAACAGGAGCTAGTTACTTGTAAAATGCAACTTTTCCATCTGCATATACAGTAGTAATAATGCGTATATAAGCGTTCGTTTGACATTTCTCACTTATAACGTCATAATTGGAAATATCCGGGATATCGAGGGATATTTAATGCAAACATCCGCAAGCCGTGACACGAATTGCTACTTGTCGACCTCGTATCATGAAAGATGAGGAGCCAGTCAATTTTTCTGACAAAGACACGCGATATAAGAACGTGCGACCGAGCCACTTTGCGTGTCAGTGATTCCACTGTAAAAGCAACTTTACCTTCATGATCTTGGCACCGTGTGCCACGACCCGCGGGACACGCCATACCATCATTAATGCCCCGTAACGTAGTGCATTATTTTATTCGCATGATCGCGTACTCGCGCCGTCATTTCCTTCGAAACGAAATAGTATAATCCGGAGTTTACGGGGGCATCTTGTGAAAATATATTCCTTTTCGTTAGTCGAAATGATTCGCAATCACGACACCGTGTTTGTCCGTTTTCACTTGTCGACGCGTCGCGATACGATAAACGAAATACAATCGTGACTCGATCACGTTCCGCAAACTGCCATTAGGTGAGAAGCGGCGCTCGCATTTTCCACATCGTAAATCACTTAAATTGCAATAATCAAAATAATGAGCGATTTAATCCCGACTTGCCGCGGCAGCGGGACGCGCGTACTCGATAATTTCAGCGTTATCGCAACGGCGAAGTTCGATCTTCCGCGCTCGAGCCTATCTCCGTTTCTCTTCCGACCGCCGCGCGCCGGAGAACCAGGTTGCAATGAGTGTGACCGAACTCATTCGGGCGCAATTGTCGCGTGCACCCTTGTACTAGGTACTCCATCGCGGCTACACACCGCCGGGGCGGACGGCGGATGGAAGCGGAATATATCCGCGCCAATCGTCGAGGCCGCGGCGATCGATGCGGGCCGGCCGGGGGATCGATTTCAATTTAGCGGCCGTTTAAGCGTGCACGCTCGCGGCTAACGAGCTTTCGAAAGTCGTAGATATCCGACAAGTTGGCCTACGGGGGCAGTCCGGGCCGCGCGCGCGGCTCACAACCCACCCGCCAGAAACTTACCGCAGTCAGGCGGCGCGAGTATCCGCGAGCATACATGTAACACGACACCGTTAACTCCCTTAACGCCGTGCTCGTACGGATATTACACGGGCGCGCGGACACACGGGCTCCCGCCCGGCAAACGTTTATGCGCCGCCCGGGGTCCGTAGTGGTAGGCATTGTTAACGTCTGAAAGGGATAAGAACGGCGGGCGCGATGGAGGGCGGCCGGCTGTTTTACTGCTTTTCCAGCGCCGGAGGAGGCGATGGGGATGGCGTGTGGTTCCCATTGTAGAGATTAGAGAGACCGGCGTATGCACCTGAGGAGCGGATTTACGTTCGGCAGCTAGATTACACATTACGGCCGTCGCTTTCTTTCCGCGAGTCGCTTTCGTGCAAGAGAGGAAGTCATTCCCGCTTCTCCTTTTCCTTTCTTTTCTTTCTTTCTTTTTTTTTTGTTAATACTTCCTGCAGGATCGATGTAGTAGAACTTGAGTAGAGAAGTGGATCGAGATATCGCGCTGTTTCCAGCCGTTGAATCGTTCGTACGAGAACTGTTTGAGTTTATGAAAATATTTGAGCTCCGATTAATTGGACCGTAGTTTTAATAAGTTTTAAAAAGTTTTGATGGGATAATAATCGCGCGATGAAAAGTAACATGTGCGAAATCTTCATTGTTCCCGACGGAATTTATAATCTTCGCTACATGCCCGACGTTAAATTATAGTTAATGAGTCTCGAGTACATTTAATTAATTATTGCGGTTTTCCGGGACAATAAAGATGTTTGAAGTGTATTCGCACAAGATTGTCAAAGGCCTCTTCCAGCGCAGGTTACGTAGTACCATTTTTAATGAATTCCTCCCAGTTAAAGAAACTTTTTGCAAACAGTCTGCAACGCGGCGGAATTATTTATCTCTGTTCCATTATCCTTGGAGATATTCTAATAAGCATGCGTTCATTTGACATTTGTATAGCGTAAACAGATAAATAATAACGCACAGTGCTTTAGAAAACCATCTCATTTATTTACGTATAATATCTCTTTTCAGACGGTATAGAGTATCTTAAAAATATCGTTGTACAGGCACGCGTTTTTGGACACTGCAGCGCGCGCGAGCCAAGCTGCAGCTTCGAGACTTTGCTAAATCAGATTCGGGGTACAATAATATCGCTGTTATGATCTTACCCTGCCCAAGTTGGGCGTAACAAATGCAATTACAATGGAAACCGCACTAAAAAGCAACGTGCAACGTGGAATTCGTAACCATTGAACTCGTAAACATTTATGCAATCAGATCGATGGACTCTGGTCATTCATGACACTGGTGTGATAATCGTAAATGTAGTGCAACGAAACGAAATAAACGTTTCTCTACGGTAAACTAAAATACGTTCGTGAAAAGAAATTCCATCGATCGTATGTACAATATCTTTATCGATTATTTACAAAATACATTAGAAACGTTGCAATACAGTACCGGCTAAAATTTCATCACCTTCCGAATGTTTCAATAGTTTTTAAGTGTACGAATGAAAAATTGGAAAATCATGGTGTATTTCGTCGAATTTCATTACCCTTCACGTATACAGTCTTAGGCTAGCGCCACACTATGCACGATTCGTGGTTCGTATATTCGTGAATAGTGTGGAGGAAAATTTCGTCGATTCGCCGTACGCAATTTTTGACAACAACAGTGATTTTTTAACTAATATTGAAACTTGACTAATTGTAGACTTATGATACAAGTCCTGTAATGACAGGTAAAAGTCAAAAGTTGTCGAGGTTAACACGAACGAAACGGCAAAGAACAAATGACGAATGGTAAACTGCGAATCACGAACGTCCAACGAATTTCTGCGAATCACGAATTACGTACAGTGTGACGCTAGCTTAATTCATTAATGCCTGGTCCTTACTTTTACTAGGATTTACCTTTTCATAAACTTTATTCTCATCTGTACACCGATGAGTTTCAGGCTGTCAGTTCACACAGCTTCTATAGAAGCCTGTGGTAGTGCATATATACAGCCTGAAACTCACAATCAGTGATTTGTATAGATAAGAAAAATGATAAAAATGCAGGTCCAGGCATTAATGAATAAGACTGTACAAGATGTATCTGTTTATTAGGTGTCTACTGTTAAAGTTTGAGCACATTCGATGCACTTTGATAAAAGTTATGCTCAGAAAACCTAAAGATGATATAATTTCGGCCAGTACTGTATATAATATATCTTTAATGCAATTTGATAGATTGAACACTTCTCTAAATACCCCTTTCCATCGCGTATAAACTCTAAAATATCGTGAGATTACTTTGCGTAAAAAAGATACAAGGTGGAACAAAATATTGCTTACGGTAGATTGATTTGTCCGTCATCGCGCACGGCCAATTTACAATAAATGGTTATGCATTACGTATAATAAAAACAAAACGCATACAAACTTGTGGATTACATTTGCGGACAGATTTTGTTACCTTTCCGTTTCTTTCTTTGTTCTGCCTTTCCGATACTTTTTTCCATTCCTTTTCGAAACTTCGCGTCGAACTGAAATCTCGGTTATGCCATTCGCTTACGAAAAGGAACAATAGCACGCGGAATATTAACGCACCACCGAGTAACGGCTAACCAGAAACACATAACATTCGTCACAAACGCGTACCGGTTTCGTCGAGTTCGGCAAGACTGTAGTATTGTCACTGCAGGCGTTGCAGAAAATATTCCCGCAATTGCGACAATGGTGCTGCAACAAAACAACATCCACAAATATTTACTATTAGTTTATATAAATTTTTCAATTTATGTTTATCGAAAAAACATTATTGCATTGTTTATACAAGCTGGTACTATAAAATATTATGTTTTTACATTACGAGTTATATCATAAAAATTGATATGTTTTTAATAACATATGTTTCATGTATCAAGCATATTGAACGTAATAAAAATATGGATAAAATTATATTTATTTAATTTTATCTTAAAATAAATACAAATATATCCACATATATTTCAATATCGGTGCACACAAAAATATCAACATTCAAGTAACTTTTATACTTAATATTTTATAACCTTATTATTTAACTATTTAAATAACAAAATTTTGTAATAAATATCTAACATCAGCTTCTATAATAATATGTGAACTTATTTCAAAATAGAAAAAGTAGCCTGTTCACGTTTCGCGCTCGTTTTAAAATGGTTACCAAACTTTATATTTGTCCTAGAAGTGAAGCTACATGCATCATTCAAAGCTTTATATGTAAAGATCTAAAATAAATATTCTAACTGTAGGCATATATAGTATACTTTGTTACGTTTACAATTTATATTGTAACCTCAAACATTTGCGGAATAGTCGTAAATTGATAATGCGGCGCGCAGACTTTTAATTAATTTCATTTATTTGAGTTCAACAAATTCACTCCGAGTGAAAATCGACAATAATTTAAAGATATCCCAATTGTCTCGGGGCAATGTAAATATAGTATACATTTAAAATCTCGTAGCTGCAGTTTAGGATTTTAACCGAAACGTCCAAACCAATCATAACTTCGCGGCGTATAATGGCGATGAGTTTGCCCGCCTCAGGTCTACACGCTGAAAAGTAAAAAGCTCTCTGTAGCGTAGTTCGCAGTTACGGATTACGTGTGCTCGTTACGTTCGGGTCAAAAAAAAGTGCATGCCCGTACCTGAAGCTGGCACGCGGACAACGGTCGGAGCTTTTTGCACTCGGCACCAGGGATACTATTGTCCGCGCGTCAACTTCAGGTAAGAGAGCGCTTAATACTTTTTTGCGGTGTTTCTTGCCCAGGTCATTTCCATGTGAGAGTCGTTAGATTGTTGAAGTATAGACGAACGTGGGACAGGACTGACTGGCATAAGCTGGTGAAATTGACAAACGAGAAACAGCGAAGATAAGGACAAACAAGGGAAACAAGTTCACGTTAATCGCATCGATTATGCAGAATGTCTGAACAGTCTCGTTTGTTCCTCTGCAGTCTTCCTAAGAATTCAGCGGATGCTGAAAGATAAATGAAGGAAGATACTAAAAATATTAGCCCAGTAAATGCACTCGGTAGTCTACATTTTGTCATATTATTAAATTTTCTTTTAATAGCGAAGCTCTCATTCAAAGTTAATGCAAGGAATCCATACAAATTTGCAAGTCGTGACGAGGGCGAACGCACCGTCGCGGTATCCATGCGTTTGATCTGCGCCTTCATTTCCCTACCCGTCCCCCACTCGCGCCCCCGTTTTCCTATTATCCCGATAATCTTTATTTTCGAGCCATTACCGACGGTCTATTACAATAACGTGGTATTCGCGTACTCCAGAAGCCAAAAGAGAAGCGTAACCGAGGCGACGATTCTAAATTTTACATCTAAATTGAATCCCCTAAGTGAGGCGGTCGGATCGTCGTTTCCCTCTCGGCGCGAGGTGGCGAAGGTGCGCGGGGGTGTGGTTGCCCGGTTATTACCGGGAAGTAAGAGCCCGAATAATATCGTCCCGATAACCGATTTCCTCGCGAAGTTAATTATTGAACCGTCATCATGACTTACGACCGAAACGTAGTAGATTGGTGCCCGCAACTCCGTAACCGGCGTGCCTCAAGCACGCCTTATCTTAACCGTGATAGATACCTACTTACAGATACTTTCCAAGACGAATAAATCAGTCTGAGATCAGATTCGAGAGATACTGTCGGGCAAATGATCGACCGTAGCGATCTATAAATTCCTCGCGAGATGACTCGGCTCTTGGCGCGGACGCGAGGGTCCTGGTAAACCGCGGAGACCTCGCGGCTTACCTCGCCCGCCTTTGTAGCGCGTAACATCGGGCAAACTCACTTTTATGCAATCGCATGAGCAAGGAAATGAGTTTTCGTCTCTAAAGTTAAGAGTTAAAAAGACGCAAATGCCATTGCACGCTTATTTATCTTCGTGGCTGAAACGGCGAACGGAGAGCCTATTTTTTCTTTCGTTGCAATTGTGCTCACTCGCATCGGTATGATAAACCGACGTGTTCGGTGTGTTAATATAATCCAAACATAATTATACAGTTAACTTTACCGAAATTAAAGGCGCTACAGACACGATAGATGGTCGTGTCATCGTGAAGTCTGCCTTAATTTGGAATAAAGTGAACAGAATTTCACGAGAATCCCGAGAAATTAATTACGATTTTGAAATATGCATATTCATCGTCCGCAAGATACATCTTTTAGCGTCGCTCCAAGTTCATACACAACACACAGGAATATTCCCAGCGCATCCTTTACGGCGCTATTCTACCGCATCGACGCGTGTGCGGCGGCGAATAATATTCTCTTATCAGCATCTGTGCCCAACTCGATATTGCTTATGATGCTCCAATATCGCAAGTGTATCGTATGCTTCCTTACGCAATAATCCCACGTGCTGGTTTCATAAGTATCGCGCGTTTTTATCGCGCACGTGGCGAACAACGGGCAGGAAGAAGAGACGTTCTCTCTGCGTATACGCAAAAAGGCGCTGAGATGATTTTCGAACGAGAATATCATCGCGCGCACTCACCCGCACTGCTCGACGCGACGGATTCAAATTAATATTACTCCATTTTAGCACACGTCAAGCTATTGACTCAACTCCGACCCTATCCGTTGGAAAATGTTTACACGTTGTTACCGCAAGATGAAACTTGGCTGCCGCAATTTACCGTTACCGGGAGCAAATTAAAGCGCCCAGCGACGCGTAAGATACGTGGGAAAAGTTTTGCGCGCCGTCTCGTTAGCATCTCGCCGCGGGAAAAATCCAAATTTCGCGCGGTTCCGCGCGGGAACTGAGTCAAGTGCGCGCGGAAAGCAATTGTCGGTGGTGCGCCACGTGCGCCGGGCGGTGCATCGCGGGACGCGGCGCGTACGTCTGAGGAGCCGGATGTGAGTTCACCGGTGTCTTAATCGTGGTCGACTAGAGATCCTGTAATCAGAGACTGACTTCGTCAAAAATTGCTGCGAGTGTTGGTCAAAATCCCACTCTTCTACGATCGTAAAATCGTATACGTAGATTCAAGAGTGTGATAGCCTATGTTTCTCTCTCACTCGTAGGAATTTGACGAACTCTTGTGGCCAGTCCCTGATTACAGGATCTCTATGGTCGACCAGCGCTGAGCGACGTGGACCGCAGGAGAATTATCGTTTTGCCCGCCGGCCACCCCGCGTTTTTTGCCGCCCGCGCGAGACCGAGCCCGATACGTTTCGAAGGTCTCGCGCAAGGTCTCCCTCGTGTCGAGCTTCTCTCCGTTGCGCACGGAGGTGGAGAACGGCTTGCCCACTGGCACGATTCCCACCCGAGCAGCCGGTCGTGCCGTGGCTGGCCTATTCTATATTAAACAGTATGGTAATACACCTACCGGGCGAAAAATGAGTAACAAGGATACCCGAGCACTGCCTTGTTATTATGCAATAACTTACCACCCTTTCCCTACGCCCTCCTTTCAACCCTCCCCGTAGCCCCGTCCCCTCGCGCGCGTATATTCCTCGAACCGTCGGCTACGCTAAAGCAAAGAAGAGAATACGGTCTAATGTATTTTATGGGGCGAGCAACGTCTCTATCACATTGTCGACTGAATATGCATGCGGGCCATGCATGCACAACGCGTAATCATGAATGTATGTCGGATGATGGTGCAAATAATGTAATTGGACGGCCTGGAAAAAAAAGGAACGCCGCGCAAACGTGGTCCCAGGCTAAAGAGAAAATTTTTCTTCGGCGTTTCCCGCGATAGCCAGAGTGAGAATATGATGACCGAACGAGAGGTCGCGATGTACGGCGATTCTTTCGGGGTCTCCGCCGCGAGCGGATTATCCCGACATCGGCAGCTAATTACGATGAGTCTCGTTATTTATCGCTCGTATACATACACGATAAAGCCTCGTCCGCGCGTAAATCCTGCTGCAGAATTCATCCGGTATGACGCGTTGCACGAGTGCACTCGGCTCGTTGCTGGCGCGCTTCCTCTTATCGATGCACGCAACTGCAGACGTACGGAACGATCAAGATCTCCGAGAGCGAATACTTTAAGCGCCCGTGTCGTGTGCCGACACGCGCGAGTTTTCGCGCTCGGGAAAGAGGAAGCGAGCCGGCGCGAGTTCTCATCGAGCCTTGGCCCGAGGAACCGTCCGCTTTTACCGTGTAACGCGACACGTCTCTCGTTCCCCGATGAGCGAATTAAAAAGCATTGCGGACACGTGGCCGCCTCGTGTTCTCGCGGCAGGTGCTTAACAACTGCCGCTCGAGAACTTGTTTAAGCCGGCAATCTCTCAACCGGCCTCTTATCTATCCCGCAAATTCCGGCCCTCATTACGGGCCTATCGCGATTTAATAAAGGGGGAAGTTAGGTAAACGAAAGCCTTTAAGTGTAATTGCCGGCCCGGGCAACGCGATAGCCCGCTATCTCTAATAATACGACTGTCGTGCATCAAAGTTGTTGCGCGCGAGAAGTGATTTCGATCTCGGAGGGATCCTGACGACCTGACGAGCGCCCGGCCCTGCGCGCCATCAGATCTTGGCCGAGGGTTTAAGTGTATCCCGTGGCGATGCCAAGTCCGTCCTGCCACCACCCGGGCGATCCTGGTCATTTAGCGCGCGCCGCTTACTTCGCCCCGTCTCCTCCGAGTCCGAGCCCGACGCGACGCGACGGCTGGAATCCGCATCAGGGTAAGCAGTAATTTCCCGAACGGCGGGGATAATTGAACAATTACGTACGGTGCGCCGCGCTTTCAGCCGAGCTCTCCGCGCTCGCGGGCCGTCTCTGCGAATAGATCGGATAGGCGAAATAGGACGGCGAGGAGAGAGGCGGGGGAGGGGTGGCTTCAGCGAGGAAGAAACTGGAGAAACCGAGAGTTGAGGCGGAAAGCTAAAGAGAGGGAGAGCGAGAGAGAGAGAGAGGGGGGGGCAAGAGAGGAAAGTTACGAAGGCGTGAGAGCAATTAAAAAGTTTGATTACCTTGCGACGAGTCATGTTGAACTCACGGCTGCACCCCTTGCATTGGGTGACCATCCGATCATTTGCCCAGGTTACCGAGCCCTCTTGCAGTGCCGACTGCTGCTGCTGCTGCTGCTGCTGCTGCTGCTGAGCGTTGTCAGCGGCCTCGCGCAGTTCAACCGCCGCTAATTTGGCCGCGCTCAATTGTCCCCCAAGTTCCTCCAGAGTTCGTTCCTGCTCACCGCACACCTCCTTCAGGGCATAATACTCCTCTTGCAGCGTCAAGTACCTCTGGAACAACCATAATTGTGATTATCCGGCATACGTACAGTCATTCGTCCATCGCGTGCGATTAAGGGCGATTTCAATTGGTCGCTCGAGTACGAATGCAAGCTGGAAATGTGTATCTTTCGGCGATTGACAGGCCAAATTAAATCGACGTCCAAAGTGTGTACACAAAGTGCTTTTAGTTTCAATCTAAATTTCGTTCTTCTCAGTTTTATTATTCCTTTTATAAATTAGCCTTTCAAATTTTAATTATACTTGTATATACGTATAACGAAAATCTGAATAATGTTTTTGTGTACATTTCCGACATGCCCAGAGAATCCTATTTTACTTTGGCTTAGCGCATTGATTTTCAAATAATCTAATTTTCAAATTGTATTCCTCGTCGCAGGAAATAACATATTCTTATACTTATTGCATTAACTCGAAATAAGTACACCCGGTGAATGCCGTTGGGTTCGGTCTGGATTAAAAAAAAAGGAAGAGAGAATTAACTTAACTTTATTATAGAACTGCCAAATATCGGGCGTGACACGCTTTAGGGCATCCGCAGAAATGAAAATCCAGTTGAAATAAATTTCATTAATCTATTTCCAGGACGGCGCCGCGGAGGTACCGTCGTACTTACTGTCGGTTCTATTATCGAAAGGCGGATAAATCTCCGCAACGGCGTGCGAATTGAATTAGGTACGGGCTTATAATCCAGGTTTCGGGGATGAGATTTAAATAGAAAGATCGGATCGCCGTGTCCGTGGGGCTCACCGTTGTCTGAACTTACGAGTCGGCGCGACGATAACGGCGATACCGTGAGATTTATTCGCCGCGGGTACGCTTAAAAGGCAATACAGATCGCACGTGGATATACGTACCTCGGACACCCGTTTCAGCTGATCGATCTCCTGATGTAATTGAGAGATCTTCTCCGTGTTGCAGATCGATGTTTCCTGCAAGGAGGTTCTCCACTCGCGCTCAAGTCGCAATTCCCTCTCGACCCCATTCGTCCGCGCCTCCCGCTCGGCAGCCACGGCACCCAGGATCTTCACCTTCTCCTCTGCCCCCGATCTGACACCATCAATCTCCTTGCACCTGATTAAGTCAAATCGGTGGTACTTAAACGTCGAAGACATAAAACTCGCGTCTACACCGCCGAAAGCTATTTCATTCAATTGGCTCAACGATCTTTAACTCCTGCCTCGCTCCAAGATTAGTTCGGGATTTCGAAACTCGAGTGTAATGACGCGTGACGGTTATACCTAAGATGTGTGATGACCCTATTCGCTCGATACGAAAATAACGAATCGAATATGATATCAATAGTCAATTATATTTATTGCTGGGAATTAATTTCAGCTCTTTGCGATTCGCCTGCTCATTCGCAGAGAAGATATTTTCCATATGTTTACAATTTGTTAAATTAAAAAACTCACTTGAAAGACACGTATTGATTATTTAATTGAAAATTGTATTTTCTGAGCAATGCTGTGTTACATATGTGTGTTATAAACAAATAAATGTGCATTCTTCAAAGACGCATTTAAGGAACTGTTTTTGTAATCACATTATTAAAAAATATAGGAGAATTAATGCTAATGTCAATTTATAGGCTGAATAACGAGATCATTTATTTCATTTTGAAAGATTAAACGGATAATATAAAATTATTATCAAATATTAATGAACCGAATGCAAACGTGATGTGATATCAGGATAAGATTCCAAAAGTGCCAAACCAGAAAATTTACGTTAATATTGAATACAATATTTTATATTTAATTACGTTTAATATAATGAATAACACATGAATATGCATTACATTCGTCAAACGTTTATCAAAGTAAAATAAAAATACATATTACTGTTTTATATTTTTCATACATAAACAACTTTAACAAAAACACTACAGCCATTACGTTTATTTTATAATTTTTTATTTACCGATTTATATATTTTATTTGATAATACTGTGATATACATAACTGTTATACATATATAACTTACCTCGCAAGATATTATTACGTAAATATAATACATACAAGAATAAATAAGGAAAAACTTTATTCAGCAATTATTAACGTTCACAAAAATTTGATTACGTCGTGGCGTCTTAATTTAATCGGCGATGACTCTGGGGTAAACAAACTCACACTCTCTTCTATCATAAATTTATTTTCGTAGTGTTGGTACAAGCACACGTAGTGTCAGAGTGCGTTATAATTTCCACTGCGCTTATACAAGTATATAAGTATATCAGTAATATGGATATGGCACGTTTAATTAATCACCATCGAACATTTTACTTCCAGTAAGGAAGTAACGCTATCTTCTCGGGAAAAAGTTTTGCATAAATGTATCGACTATAGATATCAGCAATGTAATAATTTGCTCAAAGCAGAGCTATTATCATGTATTGACGTTAAATGAAGAAGGAATGATTCAGTGAAGCGTAATTGCGAATCAGTTCCTTAAACGCGATTATCATGAACGGAAGCGAGCGTTTTAATTGAAGTACGAGGAAACATACGGAAATTTACGAGTATATCTTCCCTTGAAACAATGTCAGACGAAAATTCTTCGATGATGAGAGGACAATTTTCGTTCGTCCGAAGATTAAAATCGTGATGAAATGATGAAAATGAGATCGAATGATTAGACGTGCGATAATATTTACTACTTTTCCCTCTTCGATAGCATTAATGAATTTTATCAGTATAATTATGTGTATAAATTTATCGATTATTGCAAAAGACTTTAAAATAGGTTTTGTCAATATTAACACTACATGTTGATATAATTATTTGTAGAGAGTAGCCATTTAGTGAAGTTTGCCAATATCCCCGTGACGATGAGACTTCGTTTAATCCTAGAGCTTCGCGAGCCTTTGTCTATCCTACCTAAATCCGATCACATTCGCGAAATCTAAGTAAAAAATAAATCATCTCTAGCTAGAGCTGTCCATTTATTTGCATGCGTGCTTTATTTAAATATTGGTACGACCATTCGCATACCGAAAATTCCGTATAACGACAGCTGATAGGAGAATCTTATCACATCAACTATATTTGTACGTAAATGATACCTGCTAAAATAGTTGAGTAATATGGAGACATTTTCAATTTGCTTCTTTAAGAAATGCTAATATCGCGCGAGAAGTTTGACGGAGAGGAATGGTCAAGTTCTTACACACCTCAAATGTCACATTTATCTGAACAATATCTCGATCAACAATGATTCAATCGAAATTTTGAAGCGCATAAAAAATGTGAACGTTAGCCCTCTTCATTTTTTTTTACAATAATAAATGCAATTTTTTAATACAATTAGAAGACCACGGTCTTTTACGCGCAAAAATTTTTATCTACGTAGACTGAAAATGGAGCAACGAAACATCTTAGAATGTATACATATACGTGCATCAAAAAAAGTTTTGCGCAGTTAGAATTTTCGATATATTAAAAATGCAATTGCTGATTGCAATAATTACATAACGGAGACTGAAAACTTCTGAAATAGAAATATAACATATTTACAACTCCTTGTACAGAGTATAGAGCCGTTTTCTGAAATATACATGTGCCTTTCTCGTTTTGCGGTGAGTGGAATGAAAGTGAGTTGGGTTTCTGATAACAAGTACATTTCTATCATTCTTGCACGCTTGCATTCTTGCACGAGAAATGTCAATGACATTAATGCGCCGTTAGATAAAACAATATTGATCAAACTAGTTCCATCGCCTCACTCATCACATAGAAACCCTGTATTAAAAATTCACGATGCTACGGAAAACGGATAAACGGAAAGCTAGCTTACCCGTACACCTTTCGCTAGTAATTGATCAGATAAGATGCTGAGTAGAAAAAGGCGTTAACGCCTCAATGCAAAAACGCAAGATAATAAAACGCAAAACATTTTTTGATGTGTGTAGTTATTATATTAAAGACTATGCGCGCGCGCTTTTAATCCCGAGTATACGCGTGATCTAATTGCACTTATAAGTTAATTAACTCTAATGAAAGACACAAATAAAACATACTTCTCATCCATTTTCTGGATGCTCTCGCTCATCGATAGTGTTTTAGCTTCCAGCTTTGTAATCAGTTCTGTCTTATGCTTAAGTGAGCCTTCGCACTCCTGAAATAAATATTTATTGAGTACAGGCGAAAGAGAAAGAGACGATGCTTGGCCAAATTTCTAAACCTGGAATAGCAACATGATGCATATTCAATAGATCTTCAATCACTTCCACAATAATTAGGCATATGCTAGTTCAACAGAATGACGCACCTTCTTGAAATTTGTAATTTGTAGAAATTTGTCATATATATAGAATGTGTGATATTTTTGTAAATATGATGTAACGAAATGCTTGATGAAATCTTCAGATGTCTAAAATTTCTAATTCCATAAATAAAAAAAATGGTCTTGCTTCTAATACGTGATAACATTTGTCGATTATAGACAAATATGTACAAAATTTATTTTGAAAGTATTAGGTCTCGAATTTATAACATAATAATTTTTTATAAGTTCTTTATTATGATAGTAACTAAGTAACTTACATGTCCTGTTATGATAATATTGTTCTTTCGTTTCACATCAACGACGCAAACGAATTGACAAATTTTTCAAGATGCTGCATTATCATAATTAAGATTAGTTGGCAAATTATGATCGATTGTTTCTTCAATAAAAAGTATTAGTGTACATGTGCTTTATATTGCGACGTTATAGAAATTTCTACAAGAGTTATTGTCTTCAACGTAAAGTTCGGATTAAAGCGTCGGTAACTCGATCCGGTGCTTCAAAAAAGTCTGCTACGTCATTTCGTTACATCACAGTAATTACGCATAATTTGTCAACGTAACATCGATTAATCTTCAAAAGTGGCACCGAATATATGTGTACAGCAGTATGCTATGCGCAAAACACAAGTGGAAATCTGGCAAAGTAATTTTGCACGACTCTGTAGGGTGTACGTATAAAAAATGTACGCCTCGCGTGCAGCACTGAATAGCCGCGATATCCGAAGTGTCAAGATCCGCTGTGGAATTAATCGTGCAAGGGTAGGCTGTCTCTATTCTTTCGCAGCTTGCTCGGTCGTTGAACTATTCATGGAAATCTCGGAGGTAGAACGACTCTGTTTCAATTTGTCATTAGAGGCTGTCGCCGGCTGCTCGTCAAAAGAGCGTTGATGATCGACCGTCGCCCGGGCGGTCGCATTCTCCGCGGGCGGGCAACCCCTCGGCGAAGTAAGGCTAGTCTTATTAAGAATAGATTTTGATACGCCACCCGGAGTGGTGGGGCCTCGTATACGTTCGCCGTCCTTCATCAAGTGATTATACTTCTCGAGGTTGTTAAGGATCTTGCCGATCTGATTGGTCTTCGCGTGAAGACGGCTCACCATCTCGCCTTTTTGTGTCAGCTCATGCTCACACTCCTACAAGGGAAACACGTCCAGAAACGGAGAATTTACGTGCCCGCCGAAATCCTCTCTGAGAGGAAAAGATTTCGGCGGAATAAGAATTCCCACCACTGTCAGCACATCCACGAAAAAGCGCCTAAGAACGCTAGTGTAATGTGTAACAACATATCTTGCATAAAATACTGTTTAACTACTCACTAACAGGCTGAAATATTAATAAAAATAACAAAAATTGTCAATAAAATGCGAAAAAGTGTAAAGCAGATTATTGTTTCGGTGCTATAACTATAATTGTTCCATTTCAACATAAATCCTGCGATTAAAATATTTTTTTAACGGTAAGTTATATACAAAACAATCTCCGTGATATAGTATACTTGCCTACATTAAATGTCTTATATATTTGATTTGGAAACATTATTTACTGCACGTACATGTAAAAAATTTTTATTACAACTAATTAATTTTCTAGATTAAAATGAGACATATTTACTGAAAAATAAATTAGCATATTGTAAAATAAACAAGTTTCCCTTTCCTTTCTCTCTTTCACTTCTTCAATAAAATTTAATTAAGTAATTGACTAGATAAAATGCAAGTAGGCTATATCACAAATTAAAAAACTTATACAAGAATATAGTTGCAAGTTATACAACCTGAAGCTTTTTGTACATTTCCAAGTTGATTAATTTGATATCCTCCAGTTGTCGCCTTAAAGATATTATAGTATCCTGTTTTTCATGTATATCCTTCTCTAACAACTTCATGGCTACTTCCATTTCGGATTTCATGCAAATCTGTATAAAAAAAAGACACTTAACTTTTACAAGTCTACGTCGTCTACATAGAAAAGTATCAAGAGTTACGATATTTTATTTCTATAGAGTTTCAGAAATAAATTTCACGTGAAGCAACACGAGTTGCTATTAACCTGCAATTCCAGTTCTTTCTCTAGATCTTGCCGAGATTTCTTTTCAGATTCTATTCTGCACCGAAGTTCTTCCATTTCAGCAGTAGTTTCTGTTATCTTAAGAGGTACCTTTCCGTTCTGAAATTAAATCGATTCTTCAGCAATTCGACAATCTGTACGTAAGATACAATTTCAACGACGTATATACCTCGTTTGCATCTTTAACTTCAATGCCAAGTTCTTTCTTTAGCTGCCTGTTCTCGTCTTGAAGCGACAAAATATTGTTCTTAGCAATGGCAAGGTCCTCTTTCATAAGAGCGTTCGTAGTCGTCAGAGATTCTACTTTAGCTTGGAGATTCGTTACCGTAGCGCTAAAATCGGCAGAAGAAATGTTAAAACGTCCAATAATAACATTCGTGCGCAATTTTTCATTCGAAATTCGCCCAAATAATTAGATATTTACTTTAAATGTCGATTAAGCTCTTCGATATAATTCTTCTGATCAAGCACTGTGGTCATATTGTCGTTTTCGAGTTCATCGTCTGGTGATTCTCCAGGTATATGATTACTATTGCGCAGATATAATGAAAAGTCGATTACGCCCTGTTGACAGTCGAGGTCTTCTTCCTGCCGCAGTTACGATTGATCTTGGCTTAATGTCATTATCGCTCCAATCAAACGCATACATGCACACTCTCACGTATGTGAAAAACGCGACCATAATCCAGACTGACCTTTACACAGAAGTTACAATCGATCACATTTAATCCCACTAATAAGCCCATGACTACAATTGCCTCTTCGCTCATCATCAGAGCATCCGGTTCGAAGTATTCGGACAAAATATCATCTTTGTGATCTATCAGAACTTTGAGATAATCCGCTAATTTCTTTTGCATCAATGCCATACGCAACCAAGCGCGCGCCCTACCCATTGCCGTCCTAAAAAAAAGATGATAGTAGTTTCAAAATATTATATCCCAGAAATACTGACTATAAAAGGATCGACAAAGATTTTAAGTTAATTAGGGTTATATTAATTAATGTAATTATCAATTACATCTAAATAATTTGATTTGAAAAGAAAACTGTTTCTGAAAGGATATATGAAAAATGTATTTGGCATAAAACGTAACCGCGCCTCTTGATAAATGCTGACAGTAAAAAAGCAAAAATATAAAAATAATATTAATAATTAAAAACTTTTGAAAAAATCCACCGAAAGACTCCAAAAGACCTATTATTGGTCAGCATAAAATGTACCAATCATGTTCTTCAGCTTGAAAGCCAATACCAATCATGTTTAAAAAAAAAATTACTAACACAAATCATATACATATTTTACAATGTTTTGCCACCGGTAAATAGTGGAAGACGAACACGGTTAATTAATCACACAATTGATCGAACAGGTTGAAGCGAATAAATATGAATCACATTGTCCAAAATAGAAATACGCAGTACCTAACAGTCGGTAAATCACGAATGCTGGACGTAATATCTTGCGCTTCGGAACAATATTTCTCTACTAGCTGAAGAATATCCCACAGCTCCTTTTTGGGTCCGAGAAGACCCTGAAATCGGAGGCCTGTTAATATCAGATTGAAAACATTACTCCTCCGTCCGCAGGGATGGCAAGTTTTACCTTCTTCGGCCGTAAACCATGCCTAAGCACGTGTTCAAGGACGATGAAGAAATGTTGCAATGGCATATGATCGGAATCGAGCATACGACCATATTTCAAAGATGTTTCAATCAGCTCCTTGACGATTAGTTTCGAAATGTTAACGAGATTACTCCTCTCGATGATCACCGGATCTCGTGCTGTAAAAACAATACGTATCTGTTCTCGTTTGCAGTATAATCTCGATTAATTTCCCTCGTTAATACTCAAAATAATGATTTCAAATTCAGCGGCGAGTAACCAGTCCTGAATATGAGAGTATCTTTAACTACGGTCATGTTAAAACTGAAAGAATGTAAAAATGATTGCGTAGCACGGTATGTGTCGATTTCATAATTTTCTGAAATAAATGAAAGGTAAATAAAGAGGTGCAACCGTGAGCCGAGATTTGCATTTGGTCCCGCCATTGACAAAGAATGCATTCCAACCAAAACGCGCACGCTAAAGCGTGACGAAGAGGGATAATCTTTTTTTTTCTATTATGAGCGAAAAAAGCGATACTTTTGTATCGTAAAAGCGGTAAAGATGTCGCAACACAATTAGTCAAATCTTGCGGGGGGAAAAAAAGGAAGAAGAGGACCGATTCCCCGAAAATGTCCCGCTAATTAAATCGGGTGAGTGCGATAACATCCGGTACGGACACAAGCTGGAGACGTGCTGCAATGGCGGTGGACTTGGTGGCATAATATCGCGAAGCTCTCGCTGCTCGGGAAGCTGTTGCTGATGATGATGATGGTGGTGATGATGGTTATCGTGATGATGATTAATACCACTTAGAGCGAGCGGCGGCGAGGGTGACCGCTGCATCGAATCCTGGAGCGAGAATTCGACATCCTGAAGCTCCTTTAAACAGAGCCACTCGCCATCTACCGACACTCGAAAATTACACAGATATATTGTGTCCTGAGCACCAGCCATATCCTCCTCCAACATGACTCCGCCGTGATGTACACCACCGTGATCGCCCGGCGGTCGCAGTTTCAGACCAGTCAGGGATTCCTGCCGCATAGAAGACGATTCCTCTATCGTCTCGGTCCCAATCGATCCTAGAGATGCGATATCCTTCAACGGCCGTTCACTATTGCATAGACTCCTGATTCTCATAGGCCTTTTATTTTCTTCGGCAATAATCTTCGTGGATCGTAGTAGCTCGTCTATTCGAATCGAATTCTCCTGCCGTTATTAAAATAACGAGTCGATCGCAATTAATAAGCGTCGATTTGTTCTTCCAATAGATATTTTTTCAATCTATGCATTTGTCAGCCTATAATATTGACTCGCTCTCAATGCTGTACAGCGAAGTATCTTCTTCTTTCCGTCACATCGATCAGCTGTGAGAAAAATGTGTCACAATGGATGAGTCACCAGTAAGTGGCGATATACTGCAGTAAGACTTTACATTGTTGGTAACAACGTAATAATCTGCGTATGTCAGTTGTGTCGCTGTTTTTTTGCTAATTCTTCAGGTATTATCCTCCGATCACAGCTAGTTGTCTCAATTAGAAGTAGATGCTCCCTTTGATGAGGAATGCTCCAGTTGCTGCAGGCACCGAAGAGACGACAAATGAAATCTCAGCTCGAGCGAGGAAGAAATGGTGAACGCGCACAAACGTGACTACATCGTAGCTTCACGGTACGACACGATTATTCCCTCCTGAAGCGACACGTGCTCAGGAATCGGTGACGCACTCGTAGAGACAATTTCCGGAAATCGGAGTGCGAAGTGTCGAGCGAGGAAAATTTCACGTCGAAAATAACGAGAGCGCCGGCAAAATGTGGATATTGATTTTCCCGCTGACTTTGCCTCCATCTACGATAATCAATACGGGCGCCGTTGCGCACATGCCATGTGGTGCTGCCATCACTTTTCTGTATTGCTTTACCGGTATAACAGCACACGCTCGGCAAAGAAAGAAAATTATACATTTTCTATACAGAAGAGTAAAGTGGCAGAAGGAGGGTAACGCGAGTTTTCATACTTCAAAATTTTATTTCGATATATCTTGAGCAGCTTAATTAATCTTTTTACATGTACGATTACAAATGATTGTGTTGTCAAGTGCGTAAACAGTACGTCATAATTATCAATATTTATTACATCACGTAGAACTGGAGCAGCCAAGTGTCTCTTATGTAGAAAATTCAACAATACAAACAACTTCATGCATTTTCACATCACAGTTAATCACAGACAAAAAAGGATTAAAAATGCTACAGTAAATGTCTTATTGAATGGCTCATTAAACGTACTAATACGTTTTTGCGATTATTCAGCTGTTTTCATTTTGTTACGATCAATCACATGAGAGATAGACGTGTACTTATCGTAGTATGTACACGTGTAAAGAATTAGATACTACATAGAAGCGATATCAATGCCCGGCGTCGCGGCGAGGCAGTATCGCTCGAGGCACAATTGAAGCGTAAAACAATATAAACAAATAAGTTACAGAAACTAATAATAATTGTATTGATAAAGAAATTTAGTAAATTTCATAGTAAAGTTTCTCAAATAAATTTAGATTTACTAAATTTATAAATTAGTAACTTTACTAAATTTGTTATGAATGCTTTTTACGCAAGGAAAAGAATATTCTTCTTTTAAACATATATTTATTTTCAACATAAAAATCTTAAAATGAGATTATATTGCGTTAAAAGAAGAAGACTTACTTAAATGAAGCAATTTTATATAATTCAATCAAGAAGAATATATGCTTATTATTTAAGAATAACTTTCTTGAATGGAAAGGAAACAATAACATATTTTCAAATCGAAAATTGTAATGAGTGAAATGATTTTATTGTCAAAATAATTCTATTGTATTCTTAAAGTGACAATTATAGTAAATATAATAAGACTATAATATTGTTGGAATGCAAGATTATTGAATGCTTCTAAGAAAATTGTAGATTATTGCGTATATAAAAAACAATTAACACGTTAATTGGAGTATACAGAGTTGATCTGACTTTAAATTTTGCAAACGTTAATTTTCTTAATTTCAGTTAGTCCAGTTTATGGCGAAGCTTACATCTTTTTTCATTGAGAAAGTTTGAATAACATAATTAAAAAATACAATAAACTACGTTAATTATCAATATCTTTTTAACGATAATCAATGCAACAAATTTCTTTTAAGAGCTGAAAGTTCTTAAAACATACTTAAATTTGATTGCAATAAAATTTCTGCAACGTGTCATGTATCGTAGTCATAAAAATATTACAATAATGCGCTTAATACTCTAAAATAGCCTACCTTGCGACTTCAACAGGAAGTTTCTTAACATTGTGATATGTATAGCGGTTTAGTAAACGAAGTCGTATTCTCTCAGTGAAAACAAACTACGTGATTATTCTCATTTTTGCGCATTAAATTGTCGAACAACAGTATCAGATGCATTTAATTGCGTAATTATTGGGACACGTGCTAATCGAGAGATTTATATAACATCTCTAGTCGACGCAGAACGATCGTCAATAAAGATACAAACAACGGTGGCGAAACACGTGCGCGCACAACACGTCCAAGCGCGCTTTAACACGCGGGCGCCGAGCCGAGCCCGCGAGCGTCGGGCTTTTGAAAAGCGCGCCGAATCGCGGGACCATGCAACCATCGGGCTGTGTACTCACGTCTCGGCAACCACCAGGCGTCCAGCTTTCTGGGTCTGGACACGACGAGGTCGGGCCATTTGTCCTCCCGTATGGAATAACTTGACGGCGAACGCGAGACACTTTTCTCGTTTTCGTCGGACGCGAGGCTACCGGTGAGCGATTTCTCGGACGGGGATATTGGCAAACCGTCGCCACTCTCCGCGGCCATATTTACGTTCCCACTGTTCGGGCTAACGGCGCACTCGCCAACACAGAAACGCATGTGTACGTATACGCGCCCACAGGCGCGTTAATATCTCGCCGTTACGACGTGCAGCCGCCGTCTCTCTCTTGCCAACACGTGGTAAGAATTCTTCGTCGCGCGGTACACGCGCGCCTACATCCATCAGGCTCTGTCGGGTTGGACAATCGACGTGGAATTCGGAATAACGCGACGAAATTGAAACAAGCGCCGCGGCAAATGTAGTTTGCCATTGTTCGACACTTGCTGAATGAGCGCACTACGGCTTACAATTGAATCAAGGGACGTGCGAAGCGTCACCGATGTGATGCGATATCGCATCTCCGTATTGTAGAACTCTAAAAAAAAAGTAAAAGTCCGTGCACGAATAATTGTTTGAGCGATTTCCGTTTTATGAAAATAATAATAATAATGAGTTCAGGGCGATGAATAGTGTACAGTGGAGAGTAAATAAGTACACAATTGAAACAGAGATAAGACAATTTCACACGCAAGTGATGAGGCGATGGATGTTTCAACAGGAACTTTCTCGGCAGCGCTTATTACAAGTGCTGTTCTTAGTAAACTATTGCACGTATCACCCTGACTTTTTCGTTTTTTGTATTTTAATCCATCATTAAAAATGAGATACCGTGTATAAACGGTAAGGTTATCATTGAGCAATTATTTTTTGCGTAAGAAATCATTTTTTGACGTTTTAAATAAAAAAAACGAAATAATTGAAGCTGACGCTTGGAATAGTTTACTTAATAGATTGTGTCGTCGCATCTTTATGCAGATACGCTGAAGCCAATAAGTTCTTCCATCGTTTTGCCACGAAGGATCTCTCTTGCATACGTACTTAATTCTGAGCGAGTGTCACTGAAATCATGTTCTTTTTGACAGGAAATGTATTAATAAAATATATCTCTATATGCGCAAACTTATATAATTTAGACTACAATAAACACATAATTGAAAATATTATTTGCGTGCTTTTGGAATGTATTTAAATAACGTTTATGAATGTTTCTTCAATTCTTAAGCAATCCCAATATGTATATTATTATTCTAGAAACAATATTATTGTACTAATATGCAATAAAAGAATCTTTCAGCTATACGAAGAGTTTAATAAATTGCCCTCGCGAAATTGCATCGTAAATAATATGAGCGCGCAACAAGTACTTGCGAGTTAAAATTTATTGCTCGAAACATTCAGGTGCAAACGCCTGGAACAAACGACAAAGTCTGCGCACACGCATCGCGTACACCTCTCCAAGCCATCCTTGTTGGGTTGACTAACCCTCAAGCCGCAGTCGAAACTGGATCCGCCGCGCATCGTTTGACTTCCCTCTCTCCGCTGCATCGGGGGGAATTATTGTTCAAGCGATACCACGGTTGCGATCCTGATGGCGCGAAACACTTGTCTTCCGAACGTCGCGATTACAATGGAGCAAGATAATGGGAAGGATCTCGATCTACTAGTGCTGTAAGATTGCGAAAGAAACGCTTTCATAAACCCACTGACGGAATATTATTTAATTAACGCACGCCTAAATAAGTAAAGCACGTTCGCCAAGATGTACGGGATGCTGCTGGAAAGTGTACAATATTTCGTGCAGGTCGGTACAGTGCGAATATATCATAGAACTGGCATTGTATATTCGGGTATACATGTTTTATTTGAGGCATATATGTATATGTACACTTGAAGAGAATGATTGAGTTTGAATTAAAATTTTATTTTTTCTTTGTTGTTCTTCACGGTAAGTAGTGTTTTACACAGTTCTTAAATTTGGTTTAACTTATTTATGTTATTATTCCCGATAAATGATGTGTAATTACGTTAAATCACATTATTATACAGAAACAATTTTTAATTTTATTATTTTGCACCTTCACGTAGCATGAACTATGAGTTGTTACTTCAAATGCTATTTGTAATAATATTTAGGGAAGTAAAGAAACATTATTGGTAGTTGTTTATTAGAGAATAAAAATTTCTGCATTGTATAAAATCACGAATAAATATAATTTCATAATTTATAAGTGTTCCAAGTTAGTATACATTTTCATTAATGAATTATTAACTTTTTACCAATCTTCCTTTAAACCACAAAATTATTTAATTTTTTTACTGGTCTCAATTATGAATTACATTTAAAAATTAAAAAGAGATGATTTATTAAATGTGGAATAAGTTTAGAAGTCACTTTTTGTACCAGCTTTTTTTATATTGCAAAGTTCTAGCTCCATTTATTGTGAATAACATGGTGAATCGCATAAGTTTGATAAGATTGCAGTGGCGCAGCTGCTCCTGGAAATATTCAATTTAAGAAGTTTGAGATTGTGAATGCCGTGCTGATGAAGAATAAGACAATTCTTTTCTACAATTTACTAATATTAAAACTTTTTCTCAGTCGATTTCTTTTACTTAATTGTTTGATTATTTTTCTTCTTTCATTAATAACGTTACGTAGTGGAAAGTTCTTCTTCACGCGTTTCATATTAAAGAAATATGATCGATCTTCTTTTTGCATCAAAGGACATTTATCTTCAGTTGCGCAGATTTTAATGAATCCTATCATGTTTCCTTTACATGTTCTCTCTTTTCTGGAGTAATTTATTTTCAGAAGAAATACCTATACTTATATATTAAAAAACATAACTTTATTACGATAAATTTATATAATTAATTATAAATTTGATAAATTAAGAACAAATATTAATTCAAGATACTTTTATTATGTAAAATTAAGTTATTATAAAATTATTATTTTTAATAGAGTTAAATGTGTGTGTGTGTGTGTGTTTGTGTTTATTTGTCAAGTATGTACAATAAATACAGTTGTATATATCACAAATTCTTTTATGATATTAGTTTATTCAAATTTTATTGAAATTTTTATAAACTTTTATTTATAATAAACACTTGACACAAAGCATATCTGATAAGTCTTACAACTAAATATGTCTTACGCGACATGTTAATAAGCCTGACAAATCCATATTTAATTGCACGTTCGTCAGCATCCATTTTAATGAACTGTACATATGTACTCATCGGATATTCAATTGCTGAGTTAAGGCCAAATACATTTATCTTTGAGCTAACTGCAATTTATACTAATTGTAATTTGTCTTTTTGTAGAAGATAGCAGAACCAAAATTAAACTCGTCCATCAATCTGTCTAATTCTTTACGAAGTCTAAGTCTTTACATCTTACGATGTTTTAAACACGATTTAATGACCTTGGGGGTAGAAACATTTTCTTAGAGCTACAAATGGTATTGTGACATTAATAATTATTAAAATTATTACAGTTACATTATATAAATTTTTACTGAAAAACTGATTATTATCGTGATCTACATTTATCTTAACATGATATAAGATCGTTACTTGGCGTTTTCCAATGCAAACATACCTAATTACTGTTTAAATAGAGAGTCCTTTTAGTCATACACGTATAATTTAGAGAAGAAATTAAGTTACTTTATCTTTCTCTCTCCGTTTCTCTCACTTCCGTTAATAAAGCACTTTATGCTACAGCAAAATTTCAATGAAATCTATACATATAGTATTGATTAATCTTATTAGGTATCCTACATTCGAGGAGATTACATAGGTATATGTCGTACATTTTCCATTTTATTTACGGAAATAAATTTCACGAATATGATAGACATGTACATACAATAAATTACATTATCTATTTCTTCGTGATTTTATCAAGGAAACAACCAAAATTTGTAAAGCGAAAATTTACATTTAATATTAAATTTCTGAATCAAAAAAAGTATATTCTTATGTCACAATACTACAACAAATATTAATTATCCGATACTCTAAAATTATCGCTTTGCAACGAAACTCTTGTCAGTATTCTTTAAATTTGTTATTTTTTTTATGAAGAAGAAGATTCAATTACAAAATTTAATAATTATCAATGTCATATGTAATCATCAAGTTAATTCATTTATATACTTCTATGTTTTAAATAATTCTAATTGTTTTGTTTATCGATATCGGTGTCGGTGTTACAACTTCGATACTATCACATTAATTAACTTATTAATATGTTCCGTTTGTTTCTTGAGAATCATTACGAATTGATCCGTGTACTTATAACGTGTGTCACGTACTTACGAAGGAAACGCTTCGTAGATACGTAATAAACGAGGTACTTGAATATGAATGCACTTAAAAGACTTCCTTTTAGTCCCTGGCTCCTTAATCGTACGACGTTTTAAAAATAGCATTTTAGTCTACCACACACACACACACACACATGTAAAGTCGACTCTATTGATTTGTTTTGATAATATCTTGCTTCCCCTTATGTGTCCTTAATCGTTTGTAATTATACAACTTACTTTATTTGGAGTTACGCTTATAATTAATAGTTTATTACTTACTTTGAAATATACATATAGTTAATTGTTTATTAGATCGTTTCACTTTGTAAATTTGCGTGTTCATTTGTAATATGGTTCCTGAGTCTTCCTCATTTAAGATCACATATCCATTTTCGTGACCGCCTCTCATACTAGTTAAAGGAACATTAATTGACATAGGGGGACTGGGAAATTGGTTCGATTATCCGAATCGATTTATAATTAATCCATAGAACCTATTATCTGACACGTAACAAGGATATTGTTACAGATATGTTTCTTGAACAAATACTACTTTACGTTCAGCTTCTATACGTGTAATATATTATAGCTTTTATTACAGAATGTTCCACAGCTCTATTCATCTTATACGTACATCTCCGCTATGTTAAATAATATAAGAAAACGTTTCTGAAATGTTCGGTTCTATTCTTACTTACATAATTGTTGAATTTTCCACATTTTAGAAATAGTAAATTTTTTATTAATCAGAAAGTTATCAATATGAAATTTTTATATTTTATATGCAGAATAAGTAAATATTACTCTTTATTCTTATGGAGAAATAGAGAAATTTAAGCCTGTATCAAACTACGAATTAAGATTGAGATTAGATTACAATTTGACCAGTCAGAACAAAATTTACTTTTAAGTTTAATAAATTTTACTCTGATTGGTTGAATTTCCATCTAATCTCAATCTTAATCCGTAGTCTGGCTCAACATGCATTGTGTGCTAACGATCTAGTTTTTTAATTTCTTTAAATAGCGAAAATATTTGAGGTGGATAGAGTGAAACATCATGTACAACAGTTATTAAATTTTCATTTTGGAATAATACATTGAACATTACTCATAACACTACTAGTAATATAAATTAAGAATGAAGTCATTTAACAAAAAGTTAAATCAAATATTTTTCTTACAGTTAGAATTTGGCGAAGAAGTATGGCTTCGCATTGTGGAGAAAGCTGATTGCAAACACATGGTGTTTAATACCAGACAAATATATCCAGATGAGCTAATGACTAATTTAGCTGCAGCTCTTGCCGCATACACCGGTGATTCTATGGATAATGTTATGCAATTTTTTGGAAAGTGCTTCGTCAGATTTTTCAGTAATTTAGGGTAAGTTCTTAAAAAAAACGTACATAAAATGTATCAACCGCAGCTCTATATAATTTCTGAAATATAATTAATTGCCATTGGAAATACAATCGTTAATTTCGCTCATCAAGGCAAGTGCAAAATAAGATCCCTTACATTGACAGTAAACAAATGTTTGATTTTTGTATTTTTGATGTATTACCCAATTATATTTTTAAATATTTAATAAATTATTATTTTCGTTACACATACAATATAATATTCTTCTTTTTCCATTAAAATACGATCCACAATTTAAAGGGCTTTATGATCGATTATTGAATATTATTCATTTCACGAAATTCTTTTTATCGCGGTATTCGATATTTGATCGCTTCAGTTTTCTTCGTTCAATTACATGTACTTTACGATCGCGGAAAATTGATGCGACAGAAACTGAGATATACTTAAGAAAATGTGCATAGAGACTTAATACATGTCACAATCGATTAATGTTATTATAGAAACTTATAGATGTATATGTGTGTCATCTATTTCAAAAATACTTATGCTCGCATGAAAATTAATACAATTTGCATATAATACTTAGTTTACTTTGTTAGGTACGATTGCACTGTGAAGGCAACTGGTCGTTACTTTTGTGATTTTTTACAAAGCGTGGACAACATTCATATGCAAATGAGATTCACATATCCAAAAATGAAGAGTCCTTCTATGTATACGACGCATGTGGATCCACAAGGTGTTGTTTTAGTTTACAGAAGTACTCGACAAGGCTTTACGCATTATTTTATGGGTAAGATGCTGTTCCTATAAATATTAGAAACAATTAATATTTTGCTATTATCAAAAAACTTTCATACACATGAAGAAAGAGATAGATATGCGTAATTCTTTAGCTCGATTATATTTTACACAATATATGTATATTTTCTATTATACATATACATAACATTCTTTTCTTTTCAGGGCAATTATTTCAAATCGCAAATGACTTATATAACACGGAACTGGATATTAAAATATTAGAAAGTTCAAATAATATTCCAGGATCTCGAAACGTAATGGTTAAATTTCGTATTAATTTCGATAACCGTCAATACGTAAGTTTTGAATGTAGATTTTAATCATATTCTTTTTTTCTAAACAGGAGGTTTTAAACAAAGTTATAAAATATATATTATCATATTATAAAACATATTATTGTAAAACATATACATATTATATATTAATTACAACTGTCTATTTAACCAAAAATTTTTCTGAAAAATATATAATCTGCATTTTTAAAGAATTTAGATTCAACTATAATAATATATACAATATGTATATGTAACTTGGATTACAAGAATTATCGCAGTACTAAATTACTGATCGTTATACTCACGTTTTATTATTATTAATTAAAACTTATTATTAAACACAGTTATGTTATTTATGATATATAATTTTAACATTCAATTTTTAACGCTAACAATTTACATTGGGAATCAGATGACGAAGAACAATAGAATGAACACGCCACTAGATCATGAATTGCCACCTGTATCTTGCACATTTTTCTTACGTCTTTTTCCATTTGGCGTCGTAATGAACAAGGATATGCGAGTACTAGGAGCTGGTGATAAATTGCTTCAAGCATGGGGTGGCACCACATCCATTTTAAACAAGCATGTCACTGAAATATTCAAATTAAGAAGACCAAAGGGAATTTCATTTACATGGGGGAACGTAAGTATAAATTATACGTACTTTGAAAGAGATACAATTTGTTTTATGAATTATGATAACAATTTCAATTGTTGCATAGAGCACGTATGTACATACATGAATACAACTGGTACTTATATACGTGATATTTTTAGATAATATATTTACATTCCGTGATATTCGAATTGGAACTTATCAGGGCAAACGATCATAATTCTTCGATCAATTCTGACGATACGCCAAGCACAAGTAGTGGTTTAGACAGGCGTGGGAGTCAAGGTGCGAGAAGTATTTTGTTAAAAGGCCAAATGAGACACCTCGAAGATATTAAAGCTATTATATTTCTCTGTAGTCCTTTGTAAGTTTTCAATTCATCATTAAATTACCATTTTCCATAGGATGATATATTTATAATCGATTATCTTACCACAATAGAATCAACAGTTTGGACGAACTTCTTAATATGGGTCTGTATCTGAATGATCTAAATCCTCATGGGATGAGCAAAGAACTAGTATTGGCAGGGTGGCAACATTGCGGACGGTACAGCTCGTGTTCTGAAATAACGCGGGGAAAAAATGATGTCACCTAAAATTCAGTACATTTTACAAAATTTTTTCGAAAGAATTCATAGCATTTATTTGTAGATTGGAAATGATGTTCGAGAGGGCAGAGCAAAGATCGACTGATCTAGAAAATAGCTACACACTATTGGACCTATGGAAAAACAAAAGCGACGAGCTTTTATATTCTATGATTCCGCAAACGGTGGCAGACCGATTGCGAGCCGGAGTCAGTCCATTGAGTACATGTGAGGTGCGCAAATAGACCACCACAAAAAGTTTTTATCTTTTATTTTATCTAATAACCGTCTTAACACTTTACAGTCATTTGAATCGATAACGGTTCTATTCTGTGAATTATGTGACTTTGATTATTCGACTATTGAGGGAGCGATGGACATTGTCTTATCAATGAACGCCGTTTTTTCTTGCTTCGATACGCTGATGGATCAGTTTAATGTGTATAAAGTAAGAATATTCATTTTATGAAGTGCCATATGTCATTACCTCTCGGATAAAGTCGAATTTAATGTGATTAATGTAATTTAAGTAAAATCTTATCAGTAAAAATGTATCACACACAACAAAATATCAAGACTTTGTTTTGTTATGTTTGGATAATTTTGATTATTTGAACGTCAAGAAAGCGATAAACATTGCCTTATTAACAAACACGGATTTTTCTTATTTCACTATGCTAGTAGATCAATGTAACGTGCATAAAGTAAGATTATTTATTTCACTAAAAATATAATATTATTTATATAATATAGAATTTAATCTATTAGAATCAATATTATTTTTTACATTGAAATATTCTCTTATTATGCACATGTTAAAATTTAATCCAATAGTAATTATATTGTTAATTAAAAATTATATTTCTATGATTCAAGTCGATTCAATCCGATGCGCTTCGGTTCGAATGAAATTTTCTCAATTCGGATTCAAAAAAGGAAACGAAATTCGATTCAACATAAAACATTCTTGATATGTACATAAATTACTATATGGTGTCAATTATATTATACGTGCAATTGTACGTTATATTTGCCATTTACAATCATATGGTGACAGGTGGAGACGGTCGGTCGTGTGTATATGGCAGCTAGCGGAGCACCGGACAGAAATGAAAACCATGCGCAGAACGTCGCCGACGTTTCTCTACAACTCATCGAGCACGTTCGATCTCTCAAGTTACCCTCCGGAGTGGATATACGAATCCGCATAGGTAACCATCCTACACGTAGCCATTCAACTTCTCGAACGTAATATATATTTTCTTGTTTCTCTTGAGACACGACTTCGTTTTCTTGACGTTTCAAATAATTTTTATCTCCGCGAAGACGGACCGTATTACGCAGCAACGGATGTATGACGTAAAACAACCTGAGATATATAATAGTATATATTTACCTTAATTTCTTATAATACCTCAAATTTTTCAGGAATTCATTCTGGACCAGCTGTCGCCGGTGTGGTCGGCATTAAAGTACCGAGATACTGTTTCTTCGGAGATACTGTTAATACGGCCTCCAGAATGCAGACCACTAGTCTGGTAATGCTAGTTTATCTTTTATATGTATAAGTGACATTAGATATAATGTATAAATTCATATACATAGTATATATATATGTATAATATACGATCTGGGATCATTTCATCCGATATGGATTGATTTTTCCTCGTGTCTGAGATTTCGTCGTAAGAAGTAATGGCTGAAAAAGTTAATATTCATAATTCAATAATTTTTGATAAATAAAAGTCAAATATCTAAACTGATTGTTCAATTTTGTTATCAAGTAAATTGCGCTTAATATGACAGTTTTTATTGAAAAAATAATTTATAAACGTTCAAAAATCTGTTATCTTTCCTGAGCTTTTCTGAATTTTCATACTTTAACATTTTATTGCATTGTATGGCGTAGCCAGGGAAGGTGCATATTTCTTCTAGCACCAAAGCTCTGCTACCAAAAGGTCATTATCGTACTGAATCACGTGGAGTTGTCTGGGTAAAGGTTTGTATTATGAAATATTGACCACCTAATAATTATACATCACATATATGTAATAATGTATTATTTATAAAGGGAAAGGGAGACATGGAGACATATTGGTTGCAGTCAACAGCGAACACCAAAACGGAAGAAGAAATTAATTCATCCGACGATGAGAACGCAATAATTGAAGGTCTTTTAGTCACTAGTATATAAGAGTTTTAATATTAAAATACCTAAAACCCATATAGTATAATTACTATAAAAATGTATGTTTTATCTAGCAGAAAGAATCAAGTTGTGTGTCGACTATCTATTCCTTAATATATATAGACGTTGATCGTGTCGAGTAGACATAATTTCTTAAGTTTTATAAGAGATAATTACCATTAAAAAACTATTACACATACATTGCACTTAAATTAATTACAAGTTGATGTCTTGTTAATATAACAAAATTATCAATAACAAAATGCACACGACGTGCATACATTTTACATTACTATTTATTTATTGCATGATAAAAACACCAATACAAATACATTACAAATATATTGTATATAAGTTTTCACTAAAATTCCAAGTTATTTGATTACGAGAAAGAGAGAACGTTTTGTCACTTTCTTTTTCTGTGTATATCTTCTATATTGTGTTAAACAATTATCATGGCACGAGGCAATTAATTCTTAATTGTACAATGCCAGTCAGAAATGTTACCTGTATATTTATTTGATAATGATAAAAAATCTGAAATTATCGACCACTGTCGAAATGATATTAATGTAAATGTTCAAATATTGTAATCAATTATGTAATCAGATGCGTATAATAAGATAGATATTATTATGCGTGTAATTTAGTTATTAGTAAATTAATAATTATTTACTTTAAAATATTAATAGTTTTTATTTATTAAGTACGTTCATTAATTCGGGCAGTCTTTTTTATTTAAATTTTCGTATTAAAAGTTATCATTATTACGCGAGTAATGTAATTTATTGAATAAAAGTGTGAAAAAGTTCGGTGCTAAGATAATGATTATTTAACAATATTTTACATTGCAAGAATTTTTTGTTAATATATGCATACTCAACGTTAGATATGTAATTTCGAAAAAAATATTCTATGTGTGTAATATTGTATTGTACATTATATTTTTATTTTATAATGTAATATTTTGATAATATTGTATACATTGGAAAGTAAATTATAAGAAAAATGATATAAATAATATAAATGTAAAAGATTATATGGTAAAGAAAAGAGGACCGCTGATCGGAATCGGCGGGGGCGGTGGGGGACCTCTATGTGACTAGTTTCTGTCGAGTAAAATTTGAGGTATTTAATCTAAATAGTCTTTTAATTGATAAATTTTCATTTGCACATTTACAATATGATTTTTCGTTGGCACATTAATAAAAAATGTTACACAATAGACGCTTTGTAGATTGATTCTGTACATTTTTCGTCATTTTATGTGAGAAAAATATAAATTAACTAAAATAAATATCTTATATTAAAATTGCATATCAACAATAGCAACCGTCTAACGTGTTGCTTGTAATCCATGTAAGGAATCGATTTACTCTGGTATAAACCCCGGGATATCCGGGTTGCGCGCACCCCTCGCCCCAGGATACTACTCCTGCAAATTTAGAGAGTTTTTTAATTTGTCTAGCTTTTCTCTCGCGTGAGATTAGTTTTCCAGGTTTTCTGTAAACTTTTCTCACGTCTACCAGTTTCTTCAAATTTTGCTTGTATTGCACGTACCACCTACATTAAATAACACAATTTAAAATTGAACTTACCAACTACCTGGTGACTACCATTCTCCCGTACGTGCAACGGACCACCGCTATCTCCCTATAACGTTAAAATTTACATTACTATTTTTTTAATTTACAATATTTTACACTTATTAAAAATATATACTAAAAGAATATTCTGCTAACATTTTTACGTATCTCAGTTTTTTAATAGTATTTTTGTTATATTAATTGGTTCCAGTAAGTTAATAATAATTTTCCATTTTTATATTTCAAAATACATGCTATAAAATTTATTATTCTATTGTTTAACATAAAAGTTTTACGTGTATACATAATTACTTAATATTACTTCCTTAATTTTGTAATTTAAGATAATACTTTCTGCTTACTTGACAAGAATCTTTGCCGCCCTCTGTGATACCCGCACATAGCATATTATCTGTTATCCTACGCGATGGATATTTTGTAGCTCGGCATTCCGCGTTTGAAAGAATAGGAACAACAACTTCCTGTAAAGTGTGTGACACCGAACCACCTTCCTTAACGGCACCCCATCCGGTTACAATACCTTTTTTGCCGGCAAAAGTTTTTACTGAAAACAGGTAATAGATTCATAATCTACCGCATGCGAATAAATTTAATTTAATTAAGTATTCTGTTAAGTATTCAATCAATTGATTAATTAAAAGAATTTTTAATTGATGTCCAATACTGCACATGAGTAAATACGTAAACTAGAAAATACCTTGTTCCGGAAGACAAGCAGGTCGCATTGGACCTTCAAATTTAATAGCATCTTTTAGCTTAAGGAGTGCAATATCGTTGTTGTAATTGGCAGTGGAGTAAGCACTGTGCTTGATCGTTTTCTCCACTAGAAAATCCTGCGTTTTGCTTTCAGTGGTCGAGTTCCAGTCATGTTCTAATATTCGAACAATCAATTTATTCGCATCGAATCTGTCAAGAAAAATCTGATTAATTATCGATTGTTTTACAGACATGCGCATATACATTTAATAATGCTAAAACTCACCATGAACGAATTAATTACCTGTCAATGCAATGAGCAGCCGTTAGTACGTATCGTGAATTTATGACTGTACCACCACAATAAAATGATCCTCTATACATCAATAGAACCATCCAAGGATACTGATTGACAAGCGTCTCGACACCACCAACAATACGATTGTGTTTGTTTGTCAAACCACAAGCTATAATAGATCAATAATAAATCAATATTTTACTGTTATATACATGTATGTGTATACTATATTGAACATATACGCTGTATATTTTATATATAATAGTTTTCCTTTTTTCAATATTAATTAATGAATCAATGATATACGATTGAAATAAATAATATCTTTGATAACAGTACTAACGTACTTAATAATATATGTTTTGTACTTTTTATTCATACTACTGTAATTTATAACACATAGAATGATGAGATGTATTATTATATTAACAATGATTATTTCACAAATACCATTTCATTTAATTAATTCAGATATATTGTATATTGTATAGTTACTCTAGGATTTTTAATACCGTACTAAATTTCAGAAACTATGTGCAAACATACTGCATTGTGAACATTTTTCCGGATGTTGCAGTTCTGGTTGTTGCGGTTCTATGATCGATGGTGGATATGGTGCCACCGAACCAAACAACCATTCCCAGAATCCTTTATCATTATCAATTCCACTTGTGCTATTAAAGTTTTCCTCCTCCACGCGTACGGTTAAGTTTGACTGCGGCTGTTATTTAAAACATAATTTTGTATTATATGGATTATAATATTTATACAACATTGAAGCCATTAAAAGATACAAGACTTGGATTTATTGCACTTATTAATTGCTTCCATAAAAAATATAATACATTTATAATATATAATATATAATATAATATAATATATATTTGACTGTAAAATGTACTGTGACATATGAGAGAGTTTATATCATAAAGATATTTAATATTAGGCGTAGAGGAGTTGCAAAAAGAGACAATATTTAATAAATTATTCCTTTAAATTATCCACTCATTCAGTTAGTAAATAAATATAAAGTAAGTGATAAATTTGAAGGTTTCTGTGCACAGATCTATGTATATTTTTAATATTTTCTTGTGTTTTTATTTGGCAATATAATTATTGGCATAAATTAATTTAAGGAATCCTTTATCCATGTATATTTTATCTAAATTTTATATCCATAAACGATCGTAAAAGTGTGAAAACACCGCACCATTAACACATCGACGATACCTCATTATCTACGGCGACTGATATCACGATTGCAACAAGTGTTAATAACAATGTAAACCGAAAGAACATTATTTCTTGCACTTAAAAATCTAGCACTGCTCTGTATGCTGTTTTCCACTGTACGCTGTGAGAAGTATCAAACCGAGCTGATCCACACTTCCTGCTGAGGCGGCATATACTTTCACACAAGCCGTCGATTTGGTGTCACGTCTTTATTTATACGGAATAGTGGACAAGCCGGTGGCAGAAGTGAAAATTTAGGCTAGTGGTATGTAAATTCGCTGCAAATAAAAACGTCGTAAGCATGTAAGAGATCTGTTAAAGTTCGTTAAAGATGGTATATCTTTTACTCAGATAATTCCTTTTCCTCTTTCTCTCCTGATTTCTCTTCTCAGAATAAAAAAAAGGGCAAAAGTGAACGTCTCAATTTTAAAAGTAATTTATTAGAAATAAAATTGTGAGAGATAAAATAAAGCGTTTTGTATAAAAATATTTTCACCGTCTAGATTTTTTAAATACTTCTTGTAAATTATATAGAATATTATTATACAAATATTATTAAAAGGTTCCATTTAAAAACTTTAAGATAATCCTCACGTGATCTTGACAACGCCATTCAAGGTCATACTAATATTGCTATGTAATGCGTTACTTAAAACTCTACTGTCTGGAAAGACAAAAGTTGTAGAGTTTCTTCTGGAACTTATACGTTTTGAGATATTCTACGTGGTCAGCTTATAGCGAATTCGGTTGCTTGCACTAGTGCGCACTGAGTGAACACTAAGGCCTGTTTATAGCCAGTTCTTATATTTAACTTTGTCTTCAATACACGTTCAAAGAGTACTTAGTCAAAAAATGATCCGTGTAAACGTTGTACAGACCATTTGTCTGGGTAAGAAATATTGCAAGAGGTATTTAAGATGATCTTAAAATATAACAATTGACTGGAAGCAAGGCCTAGTGCGCACTCAGTGCGCGCTAGTGCAACCAACCGAATTCGCTATTAGAGAAAACACTCTATACATATACTTTTAAAATTGTATATCTGAAGGTTTAATGAGCCTCATTGCAATTTGTACATTTAAATTTACAGATACGTTTTTAAAAATCCCTGTTATAACATAAATGTAAGTCACAATGCATGCGCCCATACATTCATAATATGTCACGTGACATAGAAAACGACAGTTCGTTTGGCAGGTTCCTGTCTTTGTCTTTATCGGTACTTCTCCGTCAGATCCGTCTTATCATAACTTCGATTATTGCTGAACAAACGAGATAAGATGCGCGGGAGGACAACAGATTGTACGCCACCTGTAACCTGTGACAGTGGGTCAAGGTATATAGGTAACGAGACCCTCATGCGGGCGAGACGCATTACCTTATTGTCTCGACGTACGTCTAACTTTATCACAAGCCTTGCTTTATTTTCATGTATCTTCAAGGTCAGATTAAATAGATGTAATCTCTTCACGGACACAAATTTATTGTCACATATGATATCAAGCGACAAATACGTAATTCTTAGTAGACAGAGTTTTAAGATCATAAAAGTTCAACGAACCATTAAGATATGGTAAAAAGGAAAATTCTTCATGACTAAGTTCGTTCATAATTAATTAAATGGCGCCCATATATACGCAGAATAAGCAGAGAAAATTTATAGTGTTACGCTGCACATTGAAATGCAGTATTAAAATTACCATTTCATATATAAATGTAATAAATAATAATATAATTTAAATATAAATGTAATATGTTATATAATATTTTATATTGTATAATATTTTAATATTTTATACATAGCATCTTAGAAAATATTTGAAATTATTTTACTTCTACAGTTCTTTTCTATCTCTAATTAACTCAAAGATACGGCCTGACCCAGTTGTATGGAATGCTTTGTATATACATACGACAAGCAAGACAAGTAGAAAATGCAAGAAAAAAATTAAACTTGTGCATTCTTATCGCGCTCGTGTCATGTATATCTGTTGATGAATGAGAGAGAGAGAGAGAGGGGGGAGAGGGGGGAGAGAGAGAGAGAGAGAGCAAAAACTATAATTATCATCCTTGAAAATTTAATTATCAAGTGTGATTAAAGAGAGATTCGATATTCTTTCTATACTTTTGATATTTGTTATGTGTTCGGAGAAATGTAACGCTATCTGGAACTCACCTTAGATTCTGCTGCAATTTTTACATTGATTAAAGATTATATGCGGGCCATATATAAGTAAAAGTAAATTTATCTATAAGTTAACAAATTGCAAAATATGATATATTTTATTTACCTTGATAGATAAATGCGTAAGTGTCAGTATTAAACGGTGCAAAATCAATTCAGTTTGAGGACAATACTGCACTTTTAATTGAAGATCTCAGGTGCATTTATACATCGCATATCAGACATTTGCTGCACAAATCTCTATATAGCCCTTATTTCAGATAACTAGAAATCCTTGAGAAGTAGCAAACGTTTTATTAGCTCGCGGGTTAATCACATTTTTTACGATTGTAACCGCAACCTTAATAGTCTGAGAAAAATGTATAACTTCTTCCTTTCATGCTACAGGTTTGTTCTAGCTCAATGAAATTGATGACAAGGACAAATGGTTATTACACTGACCCGATTGTAAGCGCAATAGAATCTTACCATGGTATTTAGCAAGTATTAGAAACTTCTAAGAAACTACTAATTTAATATGGTTATATTAGTTATGTTTAAATATCAAAATTCTTACCACTTGTACACCACTATTTACTGTTTTACAGAATTCGCATTATAAAATTGTATATTCCATAACTTGTACATTAACGCGAAATTTTATAATTATATATATACTTTTTCCAATTACTTTTCTTATACATATATGACAGATTGCTGAGTTTATATTATCGTGCCCTATTAGAAGATGGTCTCACAATCAGCCGTGCGTAATAGCGATCAGTCTTCATGTCGGACGCGCATATGAGAAGATCATGTCGCTACTTTCTTCAGAAACGAAATACAACCAATTGATTTCAAAAATACAAATTCGAAGAAAGTGTCTCTAGAATAATGACGAAAACAAAAATTCGATATTTTGGTATGACATATAGCACAATGAAATAACGAATCACATTCTTGAGCAATTAGTTACATTGCTCGCACATTTTATTAGCAACGACGGTTTATCACTATCGCCATCATATTTAGCATCGTCTTTATCATCATATATCATAATATTTATCGACGACTTTGTTACCGTAATCATTGACTTGTCATCGTCGTTATTGCCGGCCCCGTCATCGTAGCTATCATACCGCGACAATGAATCGGAACGGCCATGGGGCGCGGTGGCATTCGCGTTCATCCGCTGACGAAATTGACATTGATCCAGTCTCGGTGGATCCCTGAAATGAAGGGTCGCTGTAAGAGGAGGTGGACCGGGTTGACATTGGACGTTCGTGGTGGCCGATGGCCGATTGCGCCATAAACCGTCGCGCTTGATGTGCGTACGCGCGCAAACTCTCATTGTGCTTGTACCTGCGGCGTACTTGTGCAGGTGAGACAACGGGTGCGTACACCGACCGGCCGGGTGATTTAAAGGCTGTCACATGCAACATCTGCCAATGCAAACGCACCACTCAAGGTTGACGATCCCCACCGAGACACGCGGCTGGGCTTTTTCATTAGTTATAATTTACTATAAAACGGCAAAACGGCCGGGATAGCTTTAGACTTTTCACGCTACGGATGTAAGCACGTGCGCGAGCCCGAATTTCGCGAAAAAAGAACAAGTTCACCGATTGGATTACTTACCGGAAACCGAACACACACGGCATGGATGGTTATGCAAGAACAAGACACATTTCTGTGCTACTTTTATGCTTGAGCTCCTGTTACGCGTTACCTCGTGTGGTAAGTTAAGTAGTTATCTATACAATGTTCTATCCTCTTTTTTCATATAGTTAGATTATGTTAATGAGAACATGCTAATAATAAGGCGATGGTACAATATCCTGTTTTATATTAGTCTAAATTTATATTTAAACAACTTGACCATATTATAAGTAATAGTACCATAATATAAGAGTCAATAAAATATTAACATAATTAATCTGAACAAATTATTAACTTTTAATTAGATTTTTATTGTAGTTGTATTAAGTATCTCAAGCTTTATATAATCATAAACTGTCAAATTAAAAATGCATAAACGCTATATAAATACAAACATTCCTAAACTGATATATTTCTCTTCGAAAATGTTAAGCACAAAATCGGTGGAAAATATTCTTGTATTGTCTAGTAATGTCCTAGTAAAGAGAAATATCTATTCATATATTTTCTATTTCTACTATTTATAGATGTTGTCGAATAATAGACGGAATTTTCCTACCTCAAATGCTCAAGTGCACTATAACATCACGAATGCTGAAGTTGAGATTCATCCGACAATAGACGAGGTTTCTTATGTCGATTTCGATATGCCTGAGTTTTCATTTCCTTCTAAAAAGCCGAATGTTTGCAATGATTGCGGTAAATAAAAGCATTTGAGCTGATGCATCTGATTATTATTTAAAAGTTTATTCAAGACAAATTAGAGGGCATTATAAGAAAGTCACCTGTTTCAATTTAAATTGATAAAAAATATATTAATTTACTTCTATTGAAATGCACGAAACAACGGATTTAATTTTGTCTTAAAATGAATTTAATTATGAACGTAATAAATGTGTAAATGGAAAACATATTTCATACATAACAAGGTTGCAAAAATATCTATTGTCACCTATGGAATTATACCAATTAAAAGAATACCAATAAAGTTTTCTTCTTTGCACAATTTTTGTACATAATGTTATGATATTAAAATAATGAAAAATTTTATTTTTGTTTCTAATCTTACCTCACTAAATTTGGAGACATTAAAAGGTACACGTGACTATGACTAAATAAGATTAATAATTTCTTTTATAGTAGCGCGCAAAATTCAATAAATAATAATTATTTAGAAAACATGTGTTGAATAAACTTGCTTTAATCATATTAGTTATTGATTATTCAAGTTATATACAGGTAATGCGTTACAGTTTGCGGGCTTGGGAGAAAGACGAGAATTGTTGGTGGCAATGTGACTAGCGTTTACGATTATCCCTGGTTAGTTAGCATGAGTAAAAAAGGGACATTTTACTGTGCTGGAAGTATAATAACACGAAGGCATGTACTTACTGCAGCTCATTGTTTGCAAGGGTACGTGTAACGCGATTACTAATCACAGATAATTGTGAATTTACCGATTATACGCATATTTAATTTCAGAGTTACGTTATATTGTACTTATATTGTAACAAAATAATTTGTAGGTTTGACATTAGGACCATCAAACTTGTTTTGATGGATAACGATCGTTCCTCGATTGGCAGCAACGCTATAGTTCGACATATTAAATCGGCAGCCATTCACGAAAATTTTCATAGTTACACTTTTAATAATGATATTGCAATCATTGAGATGGATGAACCCGTACCAGTGAATGGAATTGTACGAACAGCATGTTTACCAGAAGATAGTAAGTTATTTCCAATACTAATAGTTGTAATACATGTATATATACATATGTATATCTTACAACCGTATATAATATGTATGTACATATATACTTTTTAAGATATGTAGAAGATAGTTTTGGAAAAATTTGATGTTTTAAGCTTTATTGATTGAGATATGATACCATATAAGCAATTTACATAAGTATGTATGCGCGTAAGAACATGAATTGTCATTTTATATGTTTATTTAAATAACATCTAAATTACGAGATTAATAATCTGCAGTAGTCAATAAATATCGCTAGTGTTAATATGTTTATTGAATAAGTATTGAATTTATTATACATTTCAGAATTCACGTTACGCTTAAAAATTTAGATAACGAGTTGTTAATACAGAATACATTATTGATGCAATCGGCCATAGAAGATATTAGAATAACAGAAATGATTAAAATTACAGAAATGATTGATTATACTGGAGCGCTTGCTACCGTAGTTGGATGGGGTCGAACGGGGGAAACGAAGCCAGTAAGTGACGAGTTGCGAAAGGTTAATCTGCCAATCTTATCACGAGAAGAATGCGATCAAGCCGGATACGCGAAAAACCGCATCACTGAAAATATGTTTTGTGCCGGCTACATACTACATCCAGATGGAGCGATAGGAGGACGGGATGCTTGTTTCGTAAGTGTTAACCACAGTTCCAAATAAACGTAAAAATCAATATTTTTCAGAATAGCAAATGTATGAAAAAACACATGTACATGTGTGTATGTATGTAAATTATTTATAATATCAACACAAGATTATCTTTGAGTTTTTATTAAATATTAGAGATTTTAATATTTAAATATACATAAAATATGACTCGCACTCATTGTCAGTTCTGTTATTATTTTAATATTGTAATAACTATCAGTATAGTAAGTAACAATTTAAATGTTTAACTTCAAAGAATACAATATATGTGCTAATTTAATATTTAATATTTAAGACTATTTGTTATGTATGTTTCTCTTCAAATGCTCAATTTTTATTTGTTGTTAAGGGTGACAGCGGTGGTCCTTTACATGTTAAAGGAATTTATGGACAGCTTGAAGTAGTAGGTATGTAGGTACTTCGTAATAATAAAGTAAAGTTCTATTGTTTATTATAACTTTAAAGCCAGGCTTTTCATTTTCTGGTTAACTGTTAAACCAGAGGTTAGTCGACTTGCTATCTGTTTCGATATTATTATCTAAGAAGAGTCAGGCAATCGATTAACTTCTGGTTAATACTTAACCAAAAAATGAAAACTCGAGCCTCAATCTTTTAAATTTAATGTTAAGACCAAATAACTTTTTCTCTCTTTAATTAAATAGAGAAATGCATTTCTCTTATAAAAGCTAATAAGGTAATATTTGTATTTATGTTTAGGTATCGTATCATGGGGGCGAGGATGTGGAAGACCAAACTTCCCAGGAATATTTACTAAATTGACGAATTACATTGGATGGCTTAAAGATCACTTAGATGAAGAATGTATTTGTCCTCCACCGCATCGACAGTAAAAAAAAATTGTTATCTATTGTTACTTCATTATAACTTACGCATGTGTAATTATCAAAAGAACAGTAAGTGTGTATGTTGTAATTTTACTTTAATATTTATTTTATTATTAAGTTTAAGAGAGTAATAGAAAATAATAGAGACCAAAACGTTTTCGCTCTTTCAAATTCATATTTTAGTATAATTATTGTATAAATATGCAATTTACATAACTTATATGTCGAAAAATAATACATTATTTTTTATTTTACAAGTTTTGTATTAGATACTGTATAAACATATAAATATTACTTTAATTTTTTTTCTATAGAATCATCATAACTCTGTTATTGTACATTTTTGCACCATTAATTTATTACAACTATGTATGTATGTGTATATGTATCTACATATGAATGTACGAACATATGTTACACATATATACATATATATACATTATATGTAACATTACATGCATCTAGTCCAATGTATCCATATTGTTTTTCCGCGACGCTGATTGGTTCTCTTGTTTGGCTGACTTCGTGCTGCAAGACAGCTGTCAGCGGCGAGATGTTAGACTTTCAACTTATGGTCTCATTTTAAAAATAATAAATTAATTACATTTAAGTTATAGATTATATTGGAGGAAAAATATACAAAAAGTTTAAAATTTGCTGTAAACATTATACGGCATGTAAAAATGATAAATTTAGTCATAATAAGCAAAAACAAATATGTACTGCAATATAGAATAATTTAGAAGATTCTTCACAGTGCTTTTGAAATGTTGCTATAATATTGTTCAAGCTACATTGTAAATGTATGTTTATACAATGTTTCTACAATATTGCACTGCAGTGTATGATATTGCAACGTTACTGTAATGTAGTTGCAAATTTCTGTGCCGTATGGGTGTATGTACGTACATGTATTGTATGTTCGTAAAGTTATTCTTAAAAACCTAAACTCTTTTTTTAATATCCTGTATAACATCTCAAGTAGCAAGATGACATAGATATCTTAATAACATTTCTAACATCTTAATGACATTTCTAATGTAAATAATGTTAGAAAGAGCGAGAGTGATAATGTGTATCTAAAAGTAGGATTTAATAAAAATAAATAATTGAAATATATAAGTATATATATATATGTATATAAAAAGAAAAGGATAATGGCAAATGGGGCGTGCGTAGCGCGCGCAATGTATTGTACTATACATATAATAAAATATGTGTGTATATTGCGATATTAATTGCGATAATATTGTACTATAAATACTTTGTAAAGTAAAAATATGTAATAATGAAATTAGATTTAATTTTCTTAATATATTATAAAAATGTTAGAATTACACATAATCTCTATTATAAAATCGATTTTAGTCATCAAAAGATATCTTGGATCTATCGCCTTTGTCCATTCTTTTTCCAATGTTCTGACTCTATTTCAATAAAAGAACTAAAACTAAAACTTTAATGTAGGCATTCAATGCTACCTATCGTATCTTTTTTATGTGGTGCGAAGGGAGTATTACATATCGAATGTCACGATAATGTCTTTTGGTTTATCAAGGTTTTTAATCTTTTATCGGAAAGAAATATTATGTCATATCACTTCCGTAAGATTAACACATTCAAAACACATCTTGTTAATATTGGGGAAGGGAGTGGCTATAATTCTAAATATCATTTGTAAAGAGTCTTGTATAAAATAATAATGTATAATGTCTAATATTTCTTCTTAATAAATAATTATCATTTTGACTATGATACAAAATAATTTATGCATATAATAACAGAAGAATTTTGTTAAGCTCAGCAATGTCTTTATAAATGTCAATTTATCAGCGTTTATTTTTATTTAAATAATAACAGAATTTAACAACATAATCGTAAAGTTACTTCGGAGTTACTTAACGTTGTGATTTTATTTAACGAAATTCTCTTCATTCTCTACAGATAAGTTAAATTCTTCGGCGTCACCCCACCATAGACACCGTAGAGTATATAAGTCAACTCAAATCATATCGCAGCACCTTGTAAAACCACAGTGTAATTCACAGAAGTCATGCAGAATCCAAGAGTTTACAGAATATCTAACGACCTACAAAAGTGTAGAATAAAGTCTACATATATGAATATACAAGAAGAAAAATTAACTACAAATCAATATATAATCAGGAATTTACGTTAGATTTATATAAAGGATTAGTAGTTTATGCACAAAAGATGTAATAGGATATAGCAATTGTGTAAACATATAAGTTAGTCGCAGATAATTATGGCTAGTTACAGAATTTAAAAGCTAGAATACATTCGAATTGTTAAAACAGTAATTTCTGTGTAAATTAGTACATAATTATTAATTAATAAGCAGTTAATCTGACGCACAGGTATAGGCACGTACAAAGGATGCAGCAATCGTTAATAAATACAGCTTTAGAGAAGGAAGAAATACTTAATAATTTACTTCACATCTCTTATCTAGATTGATACTTTCGTGTAAAACGAATGTTTTAAATATAACTTTTGATATAAATGATAATCACAATGTGTATTTTTTAAATATTATCCTCTAAATTTAGACTCTTGAAATATAAAATCAGTGAAGAGCAGAGAACGCCAATGCGAGCCGTACGCAGATAATAAGACGTAGTCTTCACAATAGTCACAGACAATATAATGATACAATGTACAATACAAACGTATCGACCCACTGCTCAGTATAAAGACCCATCCTATCTCATCCTCCAAGTAAACGAACTAGAATCTATAGAATCGCGTATAAAACGCAAGGTCCGGGAAATTATAAACTTGTTCCATCGATGTTAAGATAAATTATACAGATTTTAAGAGCAAACCGAAGTCAAATCCTCGCCGCGAAGTTTACAAAATGCCCTATCTTTTCGGGCAAAAATAAAATGTATTATCTGTACCATTTCCGTCCTTATTAATTTTCACGCAATCGAGACCGATTCCCGGTAAAGCACTTAAATGTGTTGATTGAAAAACGGACGTAATGAATACTCTTATCGAATCGTAACACTTTTAACTCAAATTACTTCCGAAACTTCAAGTGCTACTATAGAAGACTTTAAACAATTCCCGCAGAACGAAAACAATATAGTTTTATCTTAAAATACAATTTGTACCCAGAGAATGGTCGTAAAAACGTCATGAAAATACGTGACACGAAAAGAATTATTTCAAACGAGAATGTTGAAAATAACACGATTCGAAAATTCCAGTCCTTTCGCAATGTTAACCACGTTTATACTCTAACGGTCCAGACTTCATTTAAAAATAAATTGCTTTTTAACCTTAATTATTTTTTAAAATTTACTTTAACCTTAAAAGACATAAAATTATATTGCAGTATTAATTTTTTATAGACTAATAAAATTCTTGGACGTCATCTCGCCTGACTGCAGAGTATAAATAAGTTGTTCCAGTAATACCGTAAGATATTGTTCTTAAATCCACAGTGCTGAAGTTGAGAAAGTCATGGAAATTCCAAAAATATACAACGAAGGCAACAAAATACAAAAGCGTATAGTATCATCTGTGATTGAAGAGTATACCGAAAATTTAATGAATGTACGTGGAAAGTGTATGGACATTGGTTGCGGTCCTGGAGATATAACAAAAGATATTTTGTTGCCGTCTCTTGGGTCAAGTGCACAAATAATTGGTAAAAGAATAATAACATGTAGAAATATAGCAAATCACTATTATAATTGAGTTATTAGTAAAGCCAACGGCACACGATACTATTTTTCCCTACTGGATTGCTTACGAGAGCCAATCAGGATTTAGCCTTATGTTACCTGATCGAAAACTCTGCATCCTGATTGGCTCTCGTAAGCAATCAAGTAGGAAAAATAGTATCGTGTGCCGTTGGCTTAAGCATTTAATTGCATGATTGCGTTTTATGAAGGCGTGGATATTTCGGAGCACATGGTCAAATATGCGAATGAAAAGTATAATAATGAAAAACGGCTCCAATTCGAGGTACTGAATGCTGAAACGAAAAGTTTACCTGAAAAATATATTTCTGAATTTGATCATATATTTTCGTTTCACACCTTGCAATGGTGCAGTGACATTCGGTAAGCAAGTATTACATAAAATATTTAAAATAAAATGTATTTCAAATTTTTAATAAATAAACTTCATTAGTAACCTTTTTAAGCAAGTGTAAATTCTTTTCTTTAAAACATATTGCACATGAGTATGCATCACTTTTAGGATACAACAATTAAATTAATGTACGTGCACGGTATTATTTTACATTTTAACTCGCATTTTAACGAGTCGTTGTTGCTCCTAATATTTAATAATATTTCTGTAACATAATAATATAATGTCAGAATTTGAAAAACAAGCAACCAACATAAAATATGAATTTATCGTATATTTATATGTTAGTTCACAAAAATCGTACTATTCTAAAGAATTTGAATAAGTATTTTGAAATATATATATTAAAAATATACATAGCTGTTAAAATTAATTGCCATTATTTGCTTTATCTAACAGACAAGTTCTTAAAAACATTTATCAAATGCTACAACCCAATGGATTCACACTTTTGTATATAATAGCAGCTGCGAATTATTTTGAAATTATTCAGAGATTGGTACGAGACATCCGGTTTGCACAATATGTACCGGTAAATATATTATATTATTAAATTACAAATATTAATATCTGATTTGTATTTGATTTTATATAATTATTTTTTTACTTATTTTGTTACTGCGTAACATTGACACAATAAATTATTAATTATTATTTTTATGTTTATGTAGGAGGAGATAAAACACATTTTACCGTATCAAGAATTTAATTGTACCCGTAAAGGATTCAAAGAATTACTTCAAAGTGAAGGATTTTCTGTTCACCATTGCAGTCTTCGGGATAAAATATATTTCGAAGAAATATCGGGACCGTTCCTAGGTAAGTCAAATTGAACATATGCAAAAAAACAGTTTTATATTAAGTAATTCGTAATTCGTTACAAAATTTCATTTATATCAATTTTTTATTAAAATTGTAACGTTAACTATGTTAAAGCCATCAACATTTTTGTAATTCTGTTTACTTTAATTTTAAACTTGTTCATGACGTGTATGACATTTAAAGGCACGCTGTTATCCATCACGCACTTTCTCCAAAATATGCCGCAAGATCTGGCGGAACAATTCAAGCATGCACTTAAAGATGAATATATGAAAGAAACTAAAACGGTATATCATAATGAGGAACTTATAGCACATGCACGTAAAGGGTTACTGATTTATGCACAAAAGATATAGTATATAATTAATATGAAATTGCTTAAACATGTATGCAATCGTAGATTGAGAAATTTAGAAAATAATAGAATTCTTGTAACACCGTATTAACACTTATAATTAATAAATACTTATTAATTAGTTAATGATTAATAATTTATTATTCATCATCATATTAGGCATTAACCGAAGTGTAATGTAATGTATGTATCCCTTGCGGGGTACATGTAAAAATATCAACATTTTTGTAATCCTCTATACGTTAATTTTAAACTTGTGTGTGACATGTATGATATTTAAAAGGTACGCTATTATCCATCACGCACTTTCTCCAAGATATGCCGCAAGATCTAGTGGATCAATTCAAGGATGCAGTTAAATATGAATATATGAAAAAAATAATTATAAAAGAGTGTATAATAATGAGGAACTTACAATACATTTTCATAAAGTGCTACTAATTTATGCACAAAAGATATAGTATATAATTAATATAAAATTGCATGACGACCCATGGCTGGCATATTCTAATTAAAAAAATTCCTTGCAAAAAATATTATTTTAGCCAGGGTTTGAACCCGGACCTCCGTACACACTCTAGGCGGGCGTCTCAACCAATTCGGCCAGCACTGCACCGAGCCATATATACATATACTGACAATGAGGCAATATATTTCGCAATGAATTTCTTTAATTAGAATTTACTAGCCATGGGTCGTCATGCAATTTTCTACATTGGATAATCAATTACTGGCGTTAAATAATTCTTTAAGTAATATAAAATTGTTTAAACATATATGCAAGAATAATAAATTTAGAAAATAATAGAAAACCTTGTACCACCGTATTAACACTTATAATTAATAAATAGTTATTACTTATGTTGGCGGTGATGTCCGCTCATACTGCGATCAACGATGCGAACCTGCCCTGTTCTTTGTAGTGGCGCCCTCAGTGCCACTCAACGCTAGCGCGGTGGACTCTCTACCTAACTTTTGTATTCAGGCCCCGGCCTTTGTTCGTTCCTTACGTTCCGACCTTTGTACCGCGCGTAACGCATCTATTAACGAGACACTAGCTCGTGTAACGATACTGAATAAAGTGTGATTGTGTTCACCCGAGTGCTTTCTCTGACGATATCGCCTTCCACCCTCAACAGGTTATGGGCCCAGGCACCCGAAGCGATAATCGCCGAATCTCGATATACGAAGGTACGTGATACTCGAGAAAGTCACGCTACGCGGACGGGATCCCCGGGGTTCGTCTCGTGGGGACAGGCGTCGCCGCGCAAGTGAAACGCAAACCGCGTATAACAGAAAGCGTATCGGGGCGCGAAGTGCGGTAACCGCGCGGGTATATCTGCACGACCGCAGAGGTCTCGCGTCATACGCACGGAAGCCATTACGTGCAAGGAACTTTCTTCGGCATCACCGGCCATATTGTCTCGTGGCGATATTTCCGGGCACGCGTCGGCGCAGCGATCGTAATCCGCGAGGGAGAAGTAGATCGCGAGAGCCAGTTTCTATTGCTTTCCCCCGTTAGTACACAGTGCGTGAAAAGCGAACGATGAGCGCGAATAACGTCGTACGCATCGAGCCGCTCGGACGCGAGAATTACGACACGTGGAGGTTACAAATGCGCGCGCTGCTAGTGAAGAACGACGCGTGGGGATACGTAAGCGGCGAGATAACGAAACCGGAACCGACGGACGCGAACGCCGCCGGAATCAGCAGCTGGGTCGTCAGGGACGAAAAGGCGAAGTCGGATCTGATTCTGTCCATAGGAGCGAGTCAGTTAAAAATAGTAAAAAACTGCAGTACATCGCGCGAACTGTGGGTCAAGTTAGAGAACACCTTTCAATTGAAGGGACCTGCCCGCAAAGCTACGTTGCTAAAGAGCCTCACTCTGCAAAAGATGACCGAGGGAGGCGACGTGCGCGAACACCTACACGACTTTATGGACGCGGTTGACAAACTCTCGGAAATGGACATCGTAATCAACCCGGATCAACTAGCCATAATGATGTTATACAGTCTGCCACCAAGCTTCGAGAACTTCAGGGTAGCCATCGAGAGTCGCGACGAGCTTCCGACACCCGAGGTTCTGCGTACCAAGATCGCCGAGGAATCCGACGCGAGGAGAGGTGCATCGTCGAATCTGTCGCAGGATGCCATGCTCGTCAATAGGAAGAAATGGAATAAACCGAAGGAGAAAGCGGCTAACAAGGAGAAAGCGGCCAACAAGGAAGCTCATAAGAAGGAGAAGTCTTTCAGGTACAAGTGCTTCAAGTGCCACGGAAGGGGGCATAAGGCCTCCGAGTGCCCGTCTCCAAAGGACGACGACGAGGGATCCTCCAAAGTGTCACTTCTGTCGACCGAGGGCTCGCAGGGTGCATGCCACGTCGCGGACAGTGCCGACAGCAATGTCTGGTGTCTCGACAGCGGAAGCACGTCGCACATCTGCAAGGATATTAACCTGTTCAGCGAAATCGGCGAGAGCGAGTCGAGCAAACTGAAACTGGCTAGCGACGCATCCGCGGATATTAAGGCGAAAGGCGTCGCGACGATCGTGACCGCGATCAACGGAAGGAGAAGCGACGTCACCTTGGACGAAACGTTACACGTTCCAGAGCTGCGAACGAATCTATTATCAGTTTCAAAGATAGCTGACAAAGGATACACGGTCGTATTCGACAAGCAGAAGGCCGCGATCAATGATCGAAAGGGGCGGACGGTGCTGTGTGCGAAACGGATCAACGACCTGTACTTCATCAGTGAGTGGTCATCCGACCACTGTCGCAACGCCGAGACCGAGACCAAGAGGAGCGACAAGTTGACATCATCCGAGAGGATCGCCAAGTCCTGGCATCGACGGATGGGCCACCTCAACTTTCGCGATCTCATCCACGCATCGAGGAGCGGGACGGTTCGGGGCGTCGACCTGCCGGACGGACTCGGAGATTTGAACTGTGACATCTGTATCCAGGGGAAGATGACGCGGCCATCATTTCCGAAGGAATCGAATCGAAAGACGGCGAAACTGGAACTCATTCATACGGACATATGCGGTCCGATGCGCGTCCCATCGAATGGCGGATCGAGATACTTCATCACTTTTACAGACGATTCGACCAGATGGACGGAAGTTAGGTTCATAAAAACCAAGGATCAAGCACTTGAAGAGTTCAAGACGTTCAAGACCTTTGTCGAAAAGCAACATGATACGAAGATAAAGGCGATCCAATCGGACAACGGTCGCGAATACGTCAACAAAGAGTTCGATGATTACTTGAAGTCGCAGGGAATCCAGCGAAGGCTTTCGACGGCGTACACTCCGGAGCAGAACGGGGTGGCCGAGAGAAAGAATCGAACCCTGGTGGAATCCGCGAGGTGTCTACTACTGCAATCCGGATTGCCACCCTCCTTTTGGGCCGAGGCGATTTCCACGGCGAACTATATCAGGAACCGCTGCCCGACAAGGAAGCTGGATGGAAGAACCCCTCACGAGGCGTGGAAAGGAAATACACCAACGGCGAGCTACTTCCGGGAATTCGGATGCAAGGCGTTTTGCCTCAGCCGGGCACCTGCGAGAGGAAAGTTCGACGCCAGATCAAGACAGGGAATATTCATCGGATATTCCGAACAGTCTAAAGGATTTCGAGTCTGGCTGCCGGAATCGAGAAAGGTCGAGATAACTCGAGACGTGAAATTCCTGGAAGAACCCCCAAAGGACTCGAAAGCGTCATCAGTTGATTTTTATTCGGAGAACGACCCGCAGGATAAGGTTCCAGATAAGGAAACCGCACCGGATCGTGTCGACATCGAGTTGAACTTCGAACCAACCGACGCAGAACAGGAAGATCTCGAGGAGATCGTCGAGGAGCCCGGGGAAGCCGCAGATGACGACGAGGAAGCTATCGAACAGCCAGGGGAAGTCATCGAAACAGCAACAGCTCGAAGAAGAGGGCGCCCTCGCCTAATCAGGACCGGATTACCAGGAAGACCCCGAAAGGATTACGGCGGACAAGCAGAGGCCGAATATGCGGAGATCGCTTGCGCAGCCGAAGTTCCGGTAACCCATGCAATTAACAGCGCAGACTCTCTCAAATGGAAAGACGCGATGGCATCGGAGGTGACGTCCTTGATAAAGAATAACACCTGGAAACTCGTGGACCGCCCAGCGGACTGTCGAGTAATCGGTAGCAGATTTGTTCTGCGAAATAAACATAATTCCGACGGAACAATCGAAAGGCGGAAGGCGCGCGTCGTGGCGCGCGGATTTTCTCAGAGACCGGGGATCGACTTTCATGAAACATACGCTCCAGTGGCCAGAGCGAGTTCTGTACGTGCGGTGGTCGCCGTAGCAGCCCAAAGAGGAATGAAAA